GTACCCACAGGTGCCGGGCACCTCCCTGTCTGGGGTTGGATGTGCCAGTGTGTTGCTCACAAGTGGAGTCCTGACCCAAAGCCCACTTGGAGAGCTGAAGGAGCCTGACCAGGACAGCAGCCCTGTCCGAGTCCTCAGCCAGCGAGCTGGTTCTCCCTTCTTAGCAGCACCAAGGGTAGTCCCTTCCTGAAGCCTGGGGACTCCCCCAGCCCTGCTGCCTGCTGGCAGTGGCCTGTGGAACCACCTCCCTCTGCTCTCTGTCCCACAGGGATTAAAAGGATCCTGCCCCATCAGATGACAACCGCTGGGCCGGTGCTGGGGGAGGAGAGGCGCTCGGATGAGTTCTTTGACTCCCTGGATCACGTCATTGACATCCACGGGCACATCATCGGCATGGGCCTGTCCCCTGACCACCGGTAAGTGTGGGGGGCCTCAGCCACTGCCAGGGTGGGCAAGAGGTGCTCCTGCGCTCTGTGGGGTGACCAGGAGAAGAAATGAGTGTGGTGGATGGAACAGGTGCCTGCTGATCCTGGTGCTGAAGGCGTGTTGTTACCACTGAGCATCACTGCTGGTTGCAGCAGGAATGTATTCCTGAGCCAGCTCAGGACAGGGTCAGGCCTTGTCAGAGGGGAGGAGCTGCCCACACAAATGTGTCTTATTCCTGAGGCAGATCATCTGTAGAATCCTAGGATAGTTTGGGTTGAAAGGGAGCTTAAAAACCATCTAGACCCCACCCCTTTGGCATGGGCAGGGACACCTTCCACTACACCAGGTTGCTCCAAGCCCCGTCCAAGTTGGCCTTGGACACTTCCAGGAATGGGGCAGCCACAGCTTCTCTGAACAACCTGTGCCAGGGCCTCACCACGGTCTCTGGGAAGAGTTTCTTCGCAATATCCTATCTAGCCCTGCCCGCTGGCAGTTTGAAGCCCATTCCCTCTTGTCCTGTCATTCGAGGCCCTTGTCCAAAGTCTCTCTCCAGCTCTCTTGGAGCCCCTTTAGGCACTGGAGGGGGCTCTGAGGTCTCCCTGGAGCCTTCTCTTCTCCAGGCTGAACACCCCAGCTCTCCCAGCCTGGCTCCAGAGCAGAGGGGCTCCAGCCCTCCGAGCATCTCTGTGCCCTCCTCTGAACTTGCTCCATCAGCTCCATGCCCTTCCTTTGTTGGGGGCCCCAGAGCTGGAGGCAGCACTGCAGGTGGGGTCTCACCTGAGCAGAGCAGAGGGGCAGAATCCCCGCCCATACTTGCCCATAAGATACCTCCATCCATCCTTAAAGATGGGTTTAATGGGATTAGAGAGGCATGACCTGACCCCTAGAGCCACCTCCCAGGTGTGGTTGTCCTTTCCAAACATGGCTAGGAGCATTTCAGCGCCTGTTCCCCTGTTTCAGCCTGGATTTCAGCAAGCTGGACTGCAGGCTCAGTGCCTGCCGTGCCGGGGGCTCTGTGAGCTCTGTGGTGCGGTGCAGGTGACCCCTCCCTGCCCTCCCCAAGGTACCTGTACGTGAACAGCCGGGCCTGGCCGCGGGACTGCGTCATCTCCGACCCGATGCAGCCTCCCCCCATCGCCGAGGAGATCGACCTGCACGTGTTCGACCTGAAGACGATGAAGGAGGTGAAGCGAGCCCTGCGTGCGCACCGGGCCTACACACCCAACGAGGAGTGCTTCTTCATCTTCCTGGACGTCAGCAGGGACTTTGTGGCGAGGTGTGTGGCAAGTGGGTGGGCAGGATCCTGACCCTGCATCCGCAAGGGCCTGGGGCCGTTGTTGCAGGACAGCTGGAGTGAGCAGGACACTCCTGCATGTTGGGAGCAGGGCAGGGAATGGAGTTGGATAGAGCAGAGGGACTGAATTGGAGGATGCTGATAAAGGCTGTCTGCCCTGCTCCTGCTGTAAATCTGTGGGGAAAGGGTAAATCTGGGGTTGTGGTGTGTTTGGTGGTGGGTGGCAAATGCCCTTCTCAGGGCCTGCAGGTGTTGTGGGGGCCCTGGATCCTGGAGGGAGCTGTCTGTGCAGGGTGAAGCTCTGGAGGCGGGGGCTGGAGCACCCTCTGCTCCCATCCCCACGGCAGGATGGGAGTGGCAGTGGCAGAGTGTTGGGGCTGCTGGGCTGACGCCCCGACCAGTGCGACACCCTGACTGGTGTCTCTCTGCCACAGCGGGGCAGAGGATCGACACGGCTACATCTGGGACCGGCACTACAACATCTGCCTGGCCAAGCTGCAGCATGACAACGTGGTGAACTCGGTGGCGTTCAGCCCGGTGGAGCAGGAGCTGCTGCTGACAGCCAGTGACGACACCACCATCAAGGTGTGGCGGTCCCCGCGGGCTGTGCGTATCCGGCAGGCCAGGAGGCCCCGGCCCAGAAAACTGCTCTTCTCCTGGCTCATGAACCAGAAAAGCTGAACCCAGGTACACCTGCTCCTGCAGCTTCCTCACTGCAGCACCTCCTCCGGAGCTCTCAGAGCCCTGAGCCCTGCACAGAGATGAGCTCTGGGCACACAAATCCCATGGCTGAGCCAGGAGGAGCCCCAGCAGCGGGAATTGCCTCCTCCTTGGAGCATCTGCTTCAAAGACAGGACATAAGAGCCGAGGGGCCTATTCTGGGCCCATCGGGCAGCAGCTGAGCTGGTCACTGCAAGGTGGGCTCCCCACAGCTTCTCACCAGCGCTGCTGCTTGGGCACAGTTCTCTGGGTGAGCTCTGGGCTTGGAGGACACTGAGGCATGTCCAGCGTGGGTCTGTGTGAGGTTGGGATGTGGCCGGCCCTGCCAGGAGCCGCTGGCTGCAGAGCGCTTGGCAGGAGCCGTGGTGCAGCTGCACTGCCTCACTTCAACATAGGTGTTTTATTGTGTGTTTGTCCAAAACCTCCATGGGCAACTCATCTGACTGCTGAGGAATGCTGAGGGCCTCCTCCCCATGGTGCCTCTTCCTGGGAGAGTGGCAGGAACTGGGGGGCAGCGAGAGGACGGAGGGGAGGCAGGGCTGGGGGCCTGGCTGGCCTCCACTGCCTGTTGATGCCTCGTTGGGAACTGCGTGTTTATATTGCCAGTTTTGAAACTCGGGAGCGGGGAGGGCTGGTGGTAACATGGTGCTGGCTTTGCCTCTGTCTTCCTCTGCTGAGTAGCACTTCAATAAGCTATGGATCAGGAACGTATTTATTGTGAGGGATCTGCTGTCCCATTCTGGGGCACCGTGAGGATGGCTGGTGGGGCTTGTTGTCACCTCCCTCCCATGCTACCCAAGTTATGGCACTTTAGCTTCTCCTGGTAAGTTCTCTGTGAATAGGTGTAGGCACCCACAGGTGCTGCAGGTATTCATTCACCTGCAGGTGATGGGGATGGAGTCCTCCTGCCTGCAGTGACAGCTGAATAAGCTCCCTGTCCCTGGGGCTGACCCGCTGTGGGTGGGGGCTCAGGATCCCGAGGTTGGTGGGGCTGGTGACTTCTAGTGATTACGGACTCAGTGGTGTTCACTGTCTGTCCCTGAAGCTTCTCTCCCCACAGGAGGTACCCAAATGTCAGAGTCTGAAATGAAGCTCCTAATCTTGACCTGGCCTAGCCAGGGCTCCCAGGAGCTGCTGTCGCTCCTGAGAGTGGGGCTGGGAAGAAGCCCAGGCAAGGGGAGGTGTTTCGGGGCCCCCCTTGGGAGCCCAAGCCCAGCCTGGGTTTACAGATAGACCTGACAGAGGTGGCAGCTCCTGTCATGATGGCACTGATGGCTTTAGCAGTCCCTGCAGCAGGAGGGTCGGCAGCCACATTCTGCTGTGCCCCAGCTTCTTCCAAAACCCCCGTACTCAGGTTTTCTGTCATGAATCAAGGGGTTCCTTCCTCTCTGTGTGTGTGTGTGCGTGTGCACAGGCTCCACATCCCGCTCTGTGCAGTCACACAGTGAAGGAACAGCCTTTCCCTTCTCCTCTCCCAACTGTGAACTCTCCACCCATGGCTTGGTGCAGCAGCGAGTGAGGCACCAAGGGGTTGTTTGTACTGAGTTTTGCTCTTCACTCTGGCATTGAATAAATACTCTGCTAAAGCATCTCTGCAATGTGAGCTTGTTTTTTGGAGTGCTGCTCTGCTGAGGCAGAACTGAGGCCAGGACTGTCACAGGGCTGGGCTGGGGCACTGCAGGAACTGCTGCCCAGCTTGTGGTTACCTGCCCTGGGTGAGGGAGTGCGGGCAGAGAGCTGTGAGAGGCAAGGAATTGCCCAAATCTCCTCTGCCCTCAGGGAGGAGGATGGAACAGCCCAGGGGAAGGGCAGCAGCAGTCCCTGGCAGCCTTGGGAATGCTCTTTTCTGTCAGGGCTGAGCACTGCAGGCTCCAAGAACAGGCCAGGGGATGGATTCCTCCTGGATTTACATTTTTTCCAAGTGCTAACAGGCATGGAGCAGGTAAGCAGAGAGCCCTGTTATTGCTGGTTGGCATTCCTGTGCCACAGCAGCATCCTGAGCTGCAATGTCACTGACCCCTCACAGCCCTTTGCTTATTCCTGGTGCAGCAGTATCTGCTATGAAATGGGGCTGGGGGTTCCCAGGAAGGGACAGACCCCCATGGGTGTCCCTTCTGTTTGTCTCTTCTACACACAGTGAGTAGAGGCCACCAGGCTGTTGCTCCCCACACAGGTTTAGTCCCGGGCAGGTGCTGCAGCTCGGGATGGGCAGGAACAGGCATCCTGCAGACACCGGACTCCCAACAGCAGCAAGGGAAAAGCAGCCTGTCCCCGAGGAGCTCAGAGCTGTTATAACCCAGGAGTGCTGGATTTGCCTTTCCAGTGGTTCTGCTCTGCTAACACTGAGCCAGCACCACTGCACTGGCTCTTTGGCCCAGTGGAGCTTCAGCTGCAAGATTCCAGCTCCTTCCCTTCCTGCTCCAGTCCCCCCCCCACCCCCCCCGGTGCTGGGCAGCTGCCCCAGGCTGCAGGGAGGCAGGAGCTGGGGAGAGCCCAAAGCACAGAAATCCCCCCACCCTGAGTCAATCCTGCCCCAGCGTCCCACGGTTCATACACAAAATGCTGTTCAAACAGGTTTTATTAGTAGTTCTGACCATACTACATCCTCAAGGAAAAAAAAACAACAACTTAGTTCACAGTGCCAGGCTGAGATGGTGTGGTCAAAAGGGAGAAAATGGGAAAAAAACCCACAAAAATCCAGCGGTGGCTTGTGCCCAGTGTCCACGTGATGGCCAGGCTGGCAGAGCTGAGCCCAGAAAGGGGCTGGACCCCTGCCTGCAGCACATGGACACAATTCCCACTGCCAGCTCAAGAGCTGCTAAAACCCAAAAAAGGCCCAGACAGCATCTACAGCACCAGGGCTGCAGCCTCATCCTTGCACGACCAGGAAAAGCTCCAGGAAGGGGCTGACAGGCCATGTCCCTTCCACCAGGCAGCAACCCCCTGGCCCCACCATGGCTGGAATGGCTCAGCCTGAGCTTTGCTCACAGCACGGACTCTCCCACCAACCTTCCAGGCACGTGCTGGGACAGGAGGGGACCATCTCCCACCTTGAAAGCCACCCAGACTCCCCCAGCTGAGCCAGTGTTTCCACAGCCACTCCTGGCACTACCTGGCTGGAGCCCCCAGCCCTGCTGCAGGCAGCACCTCAAGAGCAAAGACATTCACATCAACTCAGAACAAGCACCCCCCCCATAACACACCTTATTCACAACCACTCAACGAGAAGAGTTGACCTTCCTCTCCCTTCCCAGGCTTTTCTCAGCCTCCCTAGAGAGCTGCAGTGGGTGGGAGCAGGGCTTCTGCTGGGCTGGATTTTCCTCCCTAAGGCACAGGGTGAAAGCAGCAGCACAGGGCTTGATATGTCCCGTGGGACAGGCTGGAGGGGACCTGCACAAAGGAAGGGTCCTGCCTCCTCCCCCTGCCATTTCTGTCCCGCACAGGCTCCTGTCCCCCTTCTCCTGCCCCCTGCACACACAGGTGTGATGAGTTCTACACAAAGACTCCAAAGGGGGCTCAAAGGCAGGGAGAGCCCCTGGCCAGCACAGCAGCCACGGCTGTGGGAAGTTCAGATCAGCCACCAAGCTCCCTGGGCAGCAGCAGGGACACCTCAAACAGCCCCAGGGGCAGGTCAGGGCAGTGCCAGTGTGTAGGGGCACAGCCAGACCCTACAGGGATCCCCGTCAGGTCACAGCCCCTCACCTAATGGTGTCCTGGGCCCTGCCAGGGTGGCTGTGCCAGAGCCAAGGTGGGAACACACCACAAGCAGGGTGGACTCTGCAGCCATCAGGGCTGGGCACCTGGCAGGAGCTGCTGGCAGCAGGGGGCTTTGGGAATTCCTCCCCTGCAGCCTCGCAGCCCGCAGGCCCAGCACAGCTGCCACTCCCTTTCAGGGCAATCCAGGCAGCCATGGAGGAGGGTGACCATGCTCCAGCCTTGCTGCCCACAGGAGCCAGCCAGGGCCCCTGATCACTGACTGCAGGGGTGTTCACAGCCGGTTCCTGCCACCAACAAAACATCTCCTGGGGTACTGACAGAGGTGCCAGAAGCACAGGCAGAGAAGGCAACAAAGCCTCAAGTCCACCCCGGCTCAGGAACCCACAACAGTTTCAGAAGGATCAGCTGGCACCACACAGGGATGTGGCAGCTGGTTCTTCCCCACGAACACTGAGAGAGAGACTTTCTCATGGGTGTTGAATATGTGCTGCCCAGAGGGAAGGAGCCCAGGGACAGAAAAGGGACAGCACACTTCACTGAGGGACTTCTCCAGCCCCCAGGTCCTACCCAGGTGGCTGCAGGCTCAAAGGGGGCTGAGCAGAAGAAGAGCTCCAGAGTGCTGTGACCAGGAACCAGCTGGCCCACGACTCCCAAGCCCAGCGATGGGCAGGGACAGCTGCTGCTGGTGGCTGCAGGCCCCGAGGGAGGGCAGGGGCTGGCCAGCACTGCCCACTGCATGGGCAGACAGGAGATGTGTCCCGTCCATCAGTGCCACAGCCAGAGGTGACAGTGCCCAGACAGACAGACACAGCAGCACAGGCACAGACAGACGTGGAGCTTGGCAGTGACAAGAGCCTTGGGAAGGCTCGTGCAGCTGCCCCATGATGGGAGGGAAGCCAGCACAGAGCATCTGCCTGTGAGCAAAGACAGCTCCCAGCCTGGCCCCCACCCTGCCCAGTGCTGCCCAGAGGGTGGCAGGACCTGGGGCTCTCAGGGTACACGCTGAGCCCTGTGTCAGGCTCCTCTGCTGGCACAGGATGGACGGTCTCCAGGGTAGATTCACTTCTCTTTCCCTATGGGCATCCCTGGTGTTATTCCACGCTCCCTTCTGGGCAGCAACACCTCCTGCCCCATTCCACACTCCCAGCACTCACCAACCATCCCACTCCCAGCAAGGGCTGGATTCAGGGCTCCCCTGCCCCGCAGCTCAGCACCCCCTGAAGACACCGACTGCATCAACCCAGCATCAAACCAGTCCATGTCTCTCTTGCACCGCAGCTGCCACACACCCTCCCTGTGCCCCGTAGCGTGGAGTGCCCAGTAGCACACAACTTACAGGAACACGGAGATCTTGGAAGGAAGTCCTAAACGGCCAAGCCAAAATCCACTGGAGGTGGAGCTTGGGCAGGGCAAACTGTTGTTTTACTACAGAGCACTGTGGATGTGCACTAAACTGGTAGAGCAAGAGCTGCATTGGTTTCCACTGGGAGCCCAGAGAGCAGCAGTTCAGACACCCAAGTCCCTGCAGGAAATCTTCCATATCCCACAGCCTGCCAATGTCCACCCAAACCTCTCCTCAGGAAGAGGGTTCCGATCAGACACCTCGTTTCCATTCAGAGCGAAGGTCCCTTTTCAGGAAGGGCTTTTCTCTTCCACTCCATGCCCCCTCCTTGCTCTGAGACCTGCCTGAAGTGCAGCACAAGCGGGGGATGCCCCGGGCAGGGCTGGCTCCACGCTCACTGCTCCAAGGTGAGGAGGGTTAGAGGCCTGTGAGATCCACGATGGCTTTAATAAAGATGGCGTCATCACGCACGTAGGAGTTCTTGGCTTCCATGACGGAGACGGGGCAGAAGAGGGGGCAGCCACTGGCGATGTTCATCTCCGTGACAGGGCGCTGGAAGGAGGAGGACGTCACGTCGGGGCGGAAGGCATCGATGATGTGCTCCCGGTTGTTCTGGTCCAGGAGCATCAGGGTGACCTGTGGGGGAAGGTGAAAACACAAGGGAGTGACTAAGTAACAGGCACATGGAAGCCCAGCCCAGTGACCTGCTGTAACAGGTGCAGGTACCAGCAGCCACAGCCACCCCGCACAACTGCAATCAGAGAAATGCCTCCAAGTGGGGCCAGCAGAGAATGTCACCTCAGTGACATCCTGCAGAAACCGTCCCACATCTTGCCTGTCACTGCAAACTTCCCTGTGGCAGCACAGGGCTGTCGGACTGATTGAAACCTACACCTTGCTCACAACACCAACACTGCACTCAGGTACTTCCCTGAGCTGCTTTCCCCTGCGAAAGGGAGTGTTCCCTCTCTGCATCTGTGCATGTCTGCTCAGCCTCCACGTGTTCCCCAAACCTGCAGGGCCCAGGAGCTGGGATCTGAGCTCCCGACACCAAGCTCCGAGGCCACCACAAACTTCCCTCCCCTTCAACCCCTGCAGATGCTCTGTGGGGTCCCGAACAACCCGTGTCACCCCCTTGCTCCACAGCACACCTAGTGCTCTCAGCACACCCAGGGAATTCCCAGGGCAGCCAAGACAGAGTCCTTTCTCCTCCTTGCCAAGTGGGCCAGAGCGAGAGTGATGAGAAGCTTGAGTGGGTGCCAAACCAGAGAGGCCCATGGCTGGGCAGAGCGGGCTCTGTCCCAGACCCACCTTCTGGTTGAAGGGCCACCGCAGCAGCGCGTCGTTGGGTCCCTTCATCACCACAAAAAACAAGGACAGGTGGGTCCCACGCCCGGTGCCATCCCCGTTCAAGTACACACGCAGACACATCTTGTAGCCGTACTTGCTGGTGTAGAAAGCTGCCAGAGAGGTGCAGAACAGGAAGAGTGAGGGTCCAACCCAGCATAGCCTGGAACCAGAAGATCCCTCTGAAATTTGAGGGCTCTAAAGTTTGGAATCTGGGAGGAGTCACGTTCGGGTCTTAAAATACCCACACCACAGAGGTGATCTGGCAGTGCAGACCCTGGCCTGGCCAGATGCAGAGCAGGCACTGCTAGCCCTGGGTATTCCTCCTGCCTGCATGAGCACCCCAAAGCTGGAGCTCTGCCGGGGAATTGTGTGAGGAGCTGGTTTCAGGTTACTGCTCACATCTGGGAAATGCCTTCCCAAGAAAACAACCAGATCCCAATGTGCTGCTTGCTCACTGTCCCAGTGTTGGCTCTGTGAGGAGAGCCCCTTCCTCTGACAGATACTTGAGCACTTCCCTAGGTAAGGTTTGGGCTTTATTTTGACATTGTCTCTTGCATAGTTATGCTTTAGGCATTAAAAATATATTTCTGGGGCTCTAATATATATTTCCTCCCCTCCTTAACCATTTTATTGTTGGTTTTACAGTCTCTGAGTATTTTAATTCTAACAAAAGGGTTATGCAAGGATCAGATAGTTCCACCCCCTGCCATGGGCAGGGACACATTCCATTAGACCAGGTGTTCAGGGCCCCAACCAACCTGGCCTTGGCAGCGAAGGACCCACCACAAGCCCCACACGCAGCTGAGACACAAAAGGTTTTGGGGATTTTGCACACCTGGAGAGAAGATGGCAGGTGAGCGGCCTGTTATCGCCTCCTGACGCTTCCTGGCAAACTCCGTTATCTTCCAGATGAAGACCCCGTCATAGGTGGAAGCTTCCATGTTGCGGATCTTCTCCTCCATCTCAGCCATGGCCAGGTCTTTGAGCCCGATGCTCCTCTCCAGCTGCCGGACCTGCTCAGTGGGACACACGGTGCAGCCTGGTCAGAAACACGCAGGCTCTGAGCCCGGCAAGAGCCGACAACACCGGCACCACCTGCACACACCAGCACACTTCTACAGCCCCTCCAGCACTGCTCCTTAGTGGGAGACCTTCTCCAGAAAAGACAGGGATCATAGGAGGGAGAAATCAAGCAACATAAGCCAATTCATCATGACACTATGCTACAGCTCAGTACTTGAGCTGGAAGCTTTCCCACAGACAGTGGAAAAATTCTCCCAAGGAGCCACTCCGTTGGGTGAGCGGCACGAGAAGTGAGGATAAGGGGAAAAAACCCCCAATAACTCAGCACTGTGACAAAACTAAATTGAGAAAACAAAGAACCTTCACCCTCCGGAAGGTTCGTCCCTGCCAGCTCACACAGGGTCACGCCAGTTGGGCAGCTCCCTTGCCCAGAGAGTACAGGTTCACTGCAAACAGCACAGCTCTGGGTGCCAGGAACACTGGGAGCACTCCACAGGGACTGTGCTGGAGCAGACTGGTGTGGGCAGCTCCTTCACACCTTCAGACTGTGCGTGGCACAATGCTGCAGACAGCAGCAATGAAGGCACTCCTTTGGCAAAGGCAGCACTCCTTTGGAAACATCTGGAAGGCAAATGGCCCCATGGATTCAGGGAGATGCAGTGAAATCCTGGGTGCTCTGGCTCTTGTTGGAAAACTTTGCTGAGGAGGAACCCCTTGGTGTCTGCCCAACTTGATAATTAACACAGATCTGATGCTTTATGCAAGTCAGTTTAGTTCCCAGCTTTTCCAGGGAGCTGCTGAAGGCTGGGCACAGGCACAAAGGGTATTTCAGTTCTGCCTTCAGATTTGTGGAGTTTCAGGGCCAGATGGTGAAGCTCTGCTAGCTCATAACAGGGAAAGGAAATAGGAAACAGCCTCTGCTGGGAGTGCTGGTAGGCCCCAGGTCAGCAGTTACACACCTTGTTGCTCAGTGTTTCGATTTTCTCCTGGTCCAGCCGGTGCTGGCGGCTGTAGGCTTCGGCTGTCAGGGACACTCTCTCCACCTCCCGGTTCAGCACACAGACAATGTTCTCAAAGGTCACTGTTTTCCTCTCCAGGGCCTCACACCTTCCTAAGAGCTGCAGGGACCGAGACAGCTCTGACTCTGAGCACAGTGAGTTTGCTGCCAGCAGTGGGGAGTTGTTTTGCGATGAGGAAAGCGCAGGAAGGGGTTTCAGGTCCCCAGCACCAGCCCTGAGGCTGAGCACAGAGCTCAGCAGCATGTAGAGATGCTCCGTCAAACACTTGCTTTCATGTTCCAGGAGCTTTTCATTTTCCACCTACACGAAGAGAAACACATCCCCTATTCGGCCTGCACAATTTACAGTCACCATTCACAGAACAAATTCCTCCTCTCGAGGTCACGACACCAGTTTTAAATTATAAAGGGAAAAAAACAAAGAAAGAGATAAAAAATGTGTTTTGATGGGGGTGGTGTGGGTTTTTGTTTTGTTTTAGAAGCGTTTCAAATCACATACAATGAGGGATGCTGGATACTTCCCCAGCTGTACACATTGGTCTGGCTCTGCCTTCCTCCACCCCCTCGGGTGCTGTTAAGCTCTCTCAGATGAGCTTAACAGCACCAAAGGACAAGCCTCACATAACCCCCCTAGAGGAGAGATTTATATGAACATCACCAGTGGGAGCTCAGAAAACTAAGTGACATGGAGAAATATGTCCTGGCCATGGAGAAATATGTTCTTTGCTTACAGAATCACAAACTTGTTTGGGTTGGAAGAGACCTTAAAAGCTCATCCTGTCCCACCCCTGCCATGAGCAGGGACACCTTCCACTAGACCAAGTTGCTCCAAGTCCCGTCTCTTTCCCGTTCTTCTTCTTCTCTGGGCAACCTGTGCCAGGCCCTCACCACCCTCACAGGGAAGAATTTCTTCCTAAGGTCTCATCTAACCCTGTCCTCTGTCAGTTGAAGCCTGTCCCCCTGAAAGCAGCATGACCACCAGAGTCCCAAAGCACTCAAGTAGGAGGAGATTTCATTCCACAGGAAGTTCATAGGATTCTCAGACTCTGCACAGCAGATGATGTGAAGCTCCATGTGCAAAGGGTTTAAAACCTCTCTTTGTTCAACCACCTGAACACAGACACCTGGGCCAGTTTGGGCAACAGCAGCTTGCAGGTGAACTCTAACACTGGGACTGAAAAGCCTCAAGGTAAACCAAGAGAGGAGCCCTTACCACCTCAGCACAGCCCACAGCCTCGAACCGGCAAGGCACTTTGGATCTGCCACAGGTCTTCACATGGTCCCGAAACTAGAAAGGAAAGAAGGAAGGAAGACAGACACTGTTAGATCTGATGTGTCCCCAGTGCTCCCTTTCCATCTCACTGACATCTGGGAAACTGAGCTGAGCTGAAGAACACCCAAGGCTAATCACTAGCTGTCACCATGCTTGGCTAAACCTGGGCACTGTCTGCCATCAGGCATGACTTTCACTGTATAGACATACAGCCCTGATCTCTGAAGAAAGCTTAATTTCTCCTTCTCTTGATGTCTGGGAGGTCTCACTGTTCACCTGCACATACAAGAGAGAAAAAGCAACCAGCACATGTACAAGCTGCACATGCTGAGCAATAACCTTCCCTGAGGGCTGAGGAAAGGGAGGCAGAGGGAACAACCCCACAAAACAGGGACACATTTCATTTTGGGCACTTCACATAACACTGGTCAGGACGTGCCACAGGTTGGTATTTTTACCTCCATCCCAGCATTATATTTCTGCAGAGAGGTGCCACTAACACCCCAGCACTGAGATGACTTGTTCGGGTTCCCACACAGCATATGATTAATCCACCAAGCACTGGCACAGCATCAGCTTGAGTTTGATACACCTCTCAACAGATACCAGAATTCTGTTCTGAACAACCATCATATTCCCCACTTAACTCCTACATCTGCTACAACAGATGTCGATTAAAACTGGTTTTAAACCACATTTTTAAAGGCTTCTAGATCCATCTGGCTTGTGTAATGTGTCAGGTTACTCAGAGTTAACACGGCTGCAGATAATCAACAAGAGTTTGGAGAGGTAAATGAAGGAGTTAATATTTAAACACAGAGTAGATCACCCATGGGGATCCCATGAGCCAGCTCTTTGCAGGGCTTCAGCTCCAGCCTGCAGACAAGCAGGGCTGTACCCAAAACTCCAGCCCCCTGACAAGCTGGGCTGCCTCGCCAGCCCCCAGCCGTGCCCTACACTGCCCATTTAGAAGAACTCTTCTGCTCCTCTTTTTGCTGCCTCTGTTCCCTTGCCCTGCTACTAAAAACATCTGCCCGTAGCAGGCAGGATGGTTTCAGATGAATGTGCATTCTGAATATGTTTTTCCGAAACTTTAATTTTTCAGACTTGTGAGCCTTGTCCCAGGAGCCAGCAGCACAGAGATCCTACATACATGGATTCCATTAGATGGTTAATTAGAAATCAATTAATATAGCTGGAGATAGGCTCCCTTGCCATAATTGCAGGACACAAACCCATGAGTGTGCTTTTGCCACAAAGGCTTTGCTCCCAGACATGAGGTGCCATCAGCAGCACCAGTGCAGACCTGCAAGCGCTGGTGAGTCACGTTCCCTCACACCCACCCAGCACTTTCAGCCTTATGGAAAGGTCACATCCACACTAACAGCTGCCACTCCATCATTCTCTCCACTCCACTTCCTAACGGACTCAGTTTTCCTCCTTGTTCCCAGAATGCCAAGCTCAGCCCATAAGGACAAACACCTCCACGGCACAGGGTTGGATGGATACCTTCTCCCTGGGAATCTTCTTCCCACAGCCTTCGCAAGTCAGCGGGAATTCAGGGCAGACTTCATCATGAGCCTGTGAAAAAATGAACATGAGATATTTGTCCTCTACATAAAAGCCCCATTGAGGGTTGGTTTATAGTTTATTACAGCTGAGTGCTGTATTTACCAACCTACACACAAGACCTTGGTCATGCTGATCACTCTGCACTGCTAACTCATCCTGTGACTTCCAGGTTACCCCAATTTTGGGTTTCTATGTAGACTCAACCTCCATTTAAAAGCTGCTATAATGATTTAAAAAAAAAAATCAAATTACTGCTTTGATGGCCAAGATAATCAACAGGAAGTTCCATTTACGGCTCTGCCAGAAGACACGTAGGGGCAGGTTGAGTGAAGTCAGCCACTACCTCAGCAGGATAATTTGGATAATTTTTCCACTGTAATGGTTATCAGTCAGTTGAGGCATGGGCCCAGCACTGGCTCATCCCACGCCAGGCTGAGTTGTCTGATTGTATCTTCCCATTTGAATCAGAATACCATTTTTCTAGCAGAAAGAAAATATTTTTAAACTGTTTCATTTAGCAGTCCCTGCACACAAGCACCTGTCCCTGCAGCCAGAGCTCATGGGTTGTGTGATGGCCAGAGGGGCTGAGCAACTGATCAGGGCAACATGATCCTCTGTCCTCAGCAGACTCTTGGGCAGCAACACCAACTAAATTGGGAATGCTGGAATATGCCCCAGCTTCTCTGTCGTTTCCACACTGCCTAACCCTTCTCTTTACACACTGACCAGTTGAAATTAGGCATTGGAAACACCATGAATATGCAGATCAAAATTCAGATTAAAAGATAAGGGCACTGAAGTCTCCTGCCATGGTAGAGACAGAAAATATACCAACAAGGAGCATTTCTAATGCAGCTGTCTGAAATGAGAGGTTTGAAAACTTGTTCACATTTAGTCTCTATTGACAGAAGGTCCTGTCTTGGGGCAGGGCGAGGGGGGGAAACACGTACGGGGAAAACTTCACCCTGTTACACATCAGAAAGCGGAAAGTGAAACCACCAGTGGCTCAGCGTCGGCTTCTTGGTCACTCTCTCCTTTTTATGCTTTAAGTGAGTAGCCAGGCTCAGAGCTTCACTGCATGTCTCTGGTGACCAGCCAGCCCGCAGGGTTTGCGGGGGGCACTGCTGCCCACACGGACACTCTTCCTGCACACACAACTCTGCCTGTGCAGGAGGAGGCCAAGTGCCTGCCTTCATCCCACTCACTCAGAGGGGCTGAGCCCTTTCTTCTACCCACCTAGTGCTCTCCTGTGCTAGAAACACCTGATAGCATCTCCCCCATGACCCACAAAGCACCCGGCAGAAGGACAGACGGTCTGGCTGAAGGAAGGAAACTTCACTGTAGAGACAACTATTTTAAAAGAGAGTATTTTAAACTTATGGTCTCCCATGCTAACGTGCTGAGTGTGAAACTACCACCCCCTCCACACTCCCCACCTCCCAGCATTTATCCTCCATTCCAACTCCCGGCAGCACCACACCCAAGAGCAGGCAGCCCTGCCTGCAGCACAGGAAGGAAACCAGCCCTGCTGAGCTCACAGTGCAACTGCTCCCTATGTAAACGATTTAAGACACCCAGTAGCTTCAGCCAGCGCAGATCCAAACCTCCAGACAAACATTTCTGTATAAACAGTTACAGGCTCTTCTGGAATCCCTTGTTCCTCCCACCCCACGTGGGTGTCAGAACAGAGATGGATGGTATCAGTGCCGGAAGAAATCCACCCCACCCCGGAGCCAACGAGAGCAGAGGTTGGCACTTGAGCCTCATCTGCCACACTCCACTCCCACAGGAATGGGACAATCCCTCTGTTTACACCTTTCCTAAACCCACATCTGTGAGCCCCTGCTACAGGGATGAGCACCACTGTCATCCAGGCATTCGCTGGGAATGTTTTCAGGAGCTCTGGAAAGCCATGGCTGCGAGCAGGGCTAGGCAAGAGCTGGCCCTCTCCCAGAAGGAACTAGAGTGGAAATCAAGTTAGACAGGGGTCAGAGGGAGGGGACAGCCATGGAAGAATTAAAGGGGGGCTGGAAGACAACAGTTTGGCTCAGACCTTCAGGGCTAATCTCTGGTTACCTCAGTGTTGATTCTCACCCACTGAGGCACACGCCAGCCTGCAGCATCCAACAGCAGGAGCAGGAAAATCAACCCAGGTTAAAAGCCTGTCAGCAACATCTGGCTCTTCCCACCCAATTAAAACCAAAACTGCTGATTGATCCGCACATCGATTTCACTCCCTAATAATAAACAGCGAGACAATCCCACAGCAGCCTGTCCATCACCCACCACCAGCAGACAGGTAATTCTCTGGAGGGGCAGCACCAATCTCTGTTCTCTGGGATCAGTGACAGAACCCCAGGTAATGCCTGGAGCTGCGCCAGGGGAGGTTTAGGTTAAATACTCGGAAAAGGTTCTTCCCCCATGGGGTGGTTGGGCACTGCCCAGGCTCCCCAGGGCAGTGGGCACGGCCCCAAGGCTGACAGAGCTCAAGGAGTGTTTGGACAGTGCTCTCAGGGACAGGGTGGGATTGTTGGGGTGTCCTGGGCAGAGTCAAGACCTGGACCGGATGGTTCTGTGGGTCAGTTCCAGCTTGGGATATTCTATGGTTCTATCACAAAGCCAGGATGAGCTGCTCCCCTCTCTCTCTGCCTCAGACAAAAGCGAAAGCTGCAGTTTAATCTCATTGCCACTTCACTTCTTAGGGTGTCGCTAAACTTGACTTCAACTATGGAAGAGGCTTCTGCTGGAAATCATTATCCCCATGCCCTGGTGGCAGAGCAGGAGGTGCCCCTGCTGCCCAGCTGCTCTGCTCGTAACCTGCCACATCCACACAGGTCCAGTTTTAAGGTGCTCTTGTAACCACACTGGGAATCCACCAGTGTGACACAGGGTTCCCCCTCCAGCAAAGCGACAAGGCAGGTGGCTGGGAAACACCACTGTTGAAGCAGCTGCTGCAAGATACCTCTGCCAGAGCCTGCGGGAAGGTCACAGCAAAGGGCAGGGCTGGCAGAGGGACGAGGGACAGAAGGACAGGCTCACAGTGAGCTGCACCCTGCAGCCCTCCTGCAAAGTCTCCTGGTCTTGGAAAGTCAGTCCGTTAGTCTGCTCTGAGCACAACAGCAACCATAAGCAGACACAGCTCAAGGGCTTGGCAGCGGGATGGGAGCAACAAAAATGAAGGAAAACTACCAGGACAGCAGAGGAAAGCCAGGTGCCACGGCACAGAGCACACTGGTGACTGTCAGGGCTTGGGCAGTCTCCAGCCCCAGCACTGCCATGTCCAGCACTTGCTCCTTCACCATCTTAGCCTGGCTACAAGGAAAAGGATGGGCCAGTGCAATTGTAGAGGAAAATGGGTCTCCAGTGTAAAAGAGAGGGTTTTGAGGGAACCTGAATCCATTGTGCCAAGAAGCATGAGTTGTTTTGTGCACCTCTCCCAGTTCCCCAGGGGCTCCAGAGTCTCCAAGATGGGAATGTGCCACACAAGGCAGATACTTTGGGATGTCCTGCTCCTCTGAAGTCACCAAACCCTTCCATACCAGAGCTCCTCCTGCCAGGAGAGTCCTAAGCTGATTCTATGCCAGGCCTGCTTCAACCTTTCCCCATGCAGGTGGGCTGGGCTACCAGGCCCATCGTGACCACAGGCTCAGTCCTTGTGCTACTGCATGGAACCAGCAACACAAGGCTGGAAAGCAGGAACCCAGTCTGTAATTCCCAGTGCCAAGTGGGAATGGGAGCTTTCTGAGGCTCACACAAACTGGTGCCAGACGCAAACTTCTCCCTCTGCTGGGACATGCTGGTGACAGATCCAAGCAAGTTCACCTGGCACCACAAATAATCAAACCTCAAAGAAACTGTCAAAACCAAGGACGAAGCTCCTATCAGTAGCTGCTGTTGGCTCCAGCTGAGTGGGTGTAGGGCAGCAAGGGCACGGCAACACAGCACTCCCTCACTGCTGCCCAGTGCCCATCCGAGCTGATGACAGAAGTGATGCCAGGAACTCTTGCTTTTGGCATTGATGTTTTACTCATCAGCTTTTAGGGCTGATGTGAGAGAGGCTTTGCTTTGGGGCTTGTTGGCAGAGGGACACCAAAGCAGCATTCAGGCACTGAAGACAGGTGTGAAGGCAAGAGCAGGTTCTGAAGGCAGAAAAGGGTATGAGATGCATTTGAAGCAGCATCAGGTTTTCCATCATTTCCTAAAACAGACTCTGCCTTTCCCTGGTTGCTTTCAACTAGACAAGTATGAGGTGGTGGCACAATCCAGCATGCTTTTTCCAAATCCCTCTATCATCACAGAGGAATGATTTTCCTAGGGAAACTCTACTCCAAAACAGAGCCAGGGCTGGACCCCCAGGGCATTTTAGATCAGCCTGAGTCTGACCCTGCCCTGGTCCAGCTCCACTGTCACCTTGGACATGGCCAGCTGCACTGCAAAACCAAAAGGACTAAATCTGCTTGCCAAGGAAATTAAAAATCATGGCGCTGGACTACACTGAGTCTCCTTAAACAGCTGGTTGACACGTAAGGAAGGGTCAAAGCAACTGGGAACATCTGATTAGAGACAACTCTGCAGGTCTTCCAGGCTACAACTAACAGTCACAGTCCCGGTCGTGTCAAAACGCCCAAGATGTGCTGTTCACACCCAAAGAGGTCACTACTGGAGAACACCCTGTCACCAGGGAGGTGACATCAGTCACACCGCCACACTAAGGGTGCCAGGCACCAGCAGGTTTGTAGCCAGGATCTGAATTCCCCTCTGATGGTATTTCTGCTGTGTGCTTGCGGGGGTGCTGCGGGGCTGGCGGCCGCACTCCAAGGAAGAACTGCACTGTGCAGTGACTGAGCACTGGGACAGGCTGCCCAGAGATGGTGTGGAGTCTCCCTCACTGGAGATATTCTGGAACCATCTGGACACAGTCCTGTGCCACGTGCTCTGAGATGACCCTGCCTGAGCAGGGAGGTTGGGCCATATGAGCCGCTGTGGTCTCTTCGAACCCTACCCACCCTGTGACTCTGTGAAACCACTGCCCATACTGACCAGCTCCCAGGACAACACTCCTGGAAAGAATCTCCCTCCTTTCTAGCAGCACTTTCACCAGCACTCAAAGCTTCACCTTAATCACTCAGATCACACGGAACAGCCTCAGGATGAAGTTCTCATGGGTCTACCTGACCTCCACACCAGGAAGGGTGGTGCTGGCACTGGCCGAGCTCTGGGAGCTGCAGATGGTGGGCAGGGGCAAGGGTGGCTCCTCTGCCCCGCAGGCAGTGTGGAGATGCAGGCTATGAACAGAAGGGTTCTTACAGCATGAGGCTGAGGACACCACTGGAACTCAGAAAAGGGGAGATAAGACAAATATTTCAATGGGGAGAGGTGTCTTTTACACGCTGGAGAGGCTGAGCCTGTGGTGAGCAGCTTAATTTCAAACTCAATTTCTCTCTGCTGTCCAAGAGGTTGGAAGTGCCCAAGGGTGTGTGTGTGTGTGATTATGGCTTTGGCTCCTGCCAGACACCTGGAGCCCAAGGAACATCTGCCTGGCCCCACAACCCCCCCAGCTGCATGCATGGCAAGGGGTTTCCTCAAGGTGTAGAAGGGACACACAGCACTCACCTCCACTTCAAATTTGTGACTGACAGCTTTTCATTCTCCAATAGGTAGATGCCAAAACTGTTAATTTTTGGGCCACCACAAGAAGACTGAGCTGGTTTTAGAAACGAAGAGCAGACCCTCTACAGCCGGGGCTTTCCAACCTCCTCCCACGCACGCTCTCTGGCACTCCCACCACGGGCTTGGAAGGGAAACCGCCTGGGGCCTGGGCAGCCAGCTACACAAACTACTGCGGGGACTGTAAGGGAAGCTGGGCTGTGTCTGTGGGCCTCGGCTCCAGCTCTGGAAAATAAAGATGTGTCAGATCCCTTTTACCAAAGCAGCAGGTCCTTTTGGTCACCTGCACATGCAAGTCAGGGATTCTCCCACCAGAAAGTGGTCTGGTCCTGCTGCTCAGGCTGGAGCTGGCTGCAAACTGCACTTCACCTCCAGGTCAGAACTTGGAGCCAAAATCTTCAGAAAAAGACAATAAATGCTGTACTGAGTTTTAAAGAGAAGGCTGGTCACGCTGATACAGCATCACCGTGCCTGCCACAGCATCTTGAGTGTTGTACCCCACACAGACAACACTGATACAACACTCAGAGGTACATCTTTGGAGTAGCAGGAGCCAGGTGAAGGAGCTCCAAAGACCAGCACCTCTGCTCTGAGCAATGTGCAAAAGCCTGAAGATGAAGTTTCCGTCTCAGCTGAAAATCACCCCTTTCCTGGGGTACAGCTGGGAAGGGGGGGCATGACAAGATGATGGGGCAGTAGGAGGCCCTGACTCAGGGGACAGTTTTCCCTACATGAGGTGCAGTAGGGGTTCTCCAGCATCTCTCAGTAAGAACACTGGGCAGGAAAGAACTGCCCAGTTACCTTGTTCTCCTGGTCCCAGGAAGCCCAGAAGGAACATCCTTTCTGACACCACAGGCTTTGGAATAACATCGCTTGAGTTCTGAGTCTTGAACTTTCCACAGCCTTCCAAGCTTCACTTACAGTGAACTCTCTAAAACCAAGGTGTCAACAACAAACTCAAGGAAAACACACCCCCTCCAGCATGGATTAGGCCAAGTTATCCCCACAGCTGACAGTCACTGCCTCAGGAGCTGAGCCAATCTGTTTTCCTACAACTGCCCCATAAAACTCAATTTAAATACTGCTGTCAGGATTAAGCTTAAAAATTAGTTCTTCTTCCTAAACTTGGTCAATTCAAGTTCCTTATGTCTCAAATAATTCTGTTTCTTCCCAGCTGAAGGGGCACAGTTAAATCCCCTGTCTGGGGCAACCAAGGGGAATGCCAAGGCTGACCCCCCTCCACAGCCCCCTCCTCCCATTCCAGCCCTGGAGGGAGGGTGAAGAATGGGAGCTGGTGGGATGAAAAGCAAAAATATGAGAACTGAGGATATGTTGATAAAACAAGAGAGGGGCGTGGGCAGCTGGAGGTACTGCAAGGCAAGAGGAGAAATGCATCAGAGCCGAGGTACCACAAACTCCCTCTGCCTGGATACCACTGGGCACATTTTGGGCTCTTTGCTTTTGTTCTAACAGGCTGGTTTTAGTTTCTGCATCCCTTCTCAGACTTTCCACTGAATCTAAAGGCTCACAGCCTTCTGTTCTGTATGTACATGCAGGTAGACTCATCAGGAAACCCATACAGGAAACAAGGTCACTAATGAGAGAAAAAACCCTTCAGCCCCACCACAAACTGCTTTATTCAAATACCACTCAATATTTACAAAGGCTGAAAAATGCACTTTTAAACCTAGACTTAAGTTTTCATGCGGTCCACAGAGCTTGAAGCAGAAGTGCAAGTCATGACCAAGCAGACTGCACTCGTTCAGTTTTGTATGTCCCTTCAAGAGGTGAACTCTAGTCTGCCTGAACAGAAAGCAAAACTGACATCAGCTCTATTCATTTTTTTGAAGCTTGAGCTTTCCAGCTGCAGAACATTTTTACCCTGTGCGTGCCCTGATAAGATTAACAAACCAGAAATGACAGTATCTCTTGATTTGCAAGGGGGGAGCAGCCTCTCTCAGTACAACACATGATTTTTAAATTAGCAAACAATGAATTCACTCTGAGGGACTTTCCATGTCCTGTCGGAAATAGCTCTGAGGGACTTTCCAGAGTGGGAGCGCTGAGCCGCTGCAGGACTTTACCCACAGCGTAGCTACGGATGCAACACTCCTGCACCAGGCAGCTCTAGGCTGCGGCCCTGAAGGCTGGGTTTAACTAGTCCACAGTACTGAGAGGCTCTGGGCCAACGCAGCCGTTCGGTGCCTCTTTTCCCAGCCACATGGCTCTGACAGCATGGAGACAGCCAGCACTGACTAAATGCCACAGCTCTTTGGCAGGCAGCTGGGAGGAGATAACACAGGCCAGACCTTGCCTCCTCCCACCAGTTCCCAGGAAAGAACCAGCTTCTCCCAAGACAGCACAAAATAACCTCCTCCCTTAGGCTGAATGCCACCGGACAGGCAGGAGAGGCAAATCAACCGTGAGAGGAACCAGCTAGCACTGCTCCAAACCCCCACAACCCTCACACAGGACTGCCCTAAGACTCACAAAAACAAGGACAGTGGAGACTCACAAACCACTGGCAGGGGAGAGGTGTGCCACAGACCCACAAGCTATGGGGCCCACCTCTTTCAAACACCCTTTGTCTGAGCAAACACCAAACTGGGGCTTGGGAAGATCAGGTACAAAGTAAAAAAGAGGCACAGCCTCATCCATTCAGGAGCTCTTCAGCAGCTGTATGTAAGGTTCTGGGGCATCACACACACCTGCAGCCCTGCAAGAAGTCAGCCTGATCCCGGGACAGCTCCCTGCTCCTCTGAAATCCCAGGGGGAGCCCTGGCCAGACACAAGCAGTCAAATATTTTTAGGCCACACAGGGAGGATCTTTGGCAGCAGATGATTTTTGCTGAGCTCTGCAGGAACATGTTAAGATTTTTCTTAAACCCAGAAGAAGAAGTTCAGCAGAGCTCATCAGCCACAGCACATTCAGCACTGGAAGCTGCTGACAGGCGTAATCTGGTTTAGTCTAATGGAGATGAGCTCACTCTAATCATTGCAGAGGGCATCAGGCTTATGGACACCAGCAGAAATTGAAGCATGAAGCAAACAATCTGCAGGCACCACCAGCACAGCCTGAACCTTGGAATCAGGGTACACCCTGTTCCCTGAAATGCAACCCCCAAACCCTCCATGCTGCAGCAGTGTTAAGCTTTTCACTTGACATTTCTTGTCCCACATCCACACCATGAGTCTCTCACAGATCTATGAATGGGGGTTCACAGCAGCAGAACCATTTAGTACCAACACCCTCATCCTCTAGACTGAACTTTGAGCACACAGCAGAAGGCTCAGAGAGCAGGACAAGGAAGCAGAGCTCCAGAAGCACCTCCTTGCTAAAAGGTTCAGCAGCCTGGGCTGAAAGCTCAGGCCTGATGCACAGCTGTTGCTTCTTCCTTCCACCTTGCAATGGCATCATAGAGAGAATCCCAACGTTAGCCTCGACAAACCAAGGTTAAACCTGTTCCTGACACACATCTCAGTCACTATCAGAGCTCTGTGAACCACAAGGCTATGATCTTTACCTGGGGCAAGTGTTAGAGGGAAATAAAATCCCTCTTATCTCAATCCCTCCACATGGTGGTTCTGCCATTCCAAGAGGGATGATAAAACTATCCTTCAGGAGCACCAAAGCTTCACAGGTGAATATAGATTCACGTGCTATGGACGAGGTGCCCACGGCCACAACTAAAACCTGGATTAAAAAGCTAGTGGGCTCCTTGAGAAGAGCAGAGGTGGAAAAACCAGGCTTGTGGCCCAGAACAGCCTGGGGTGATGGGTGATCAGCCAGTGCTCAGTCCCACTGCCCTGGTAGCTATGGGGACAGCTGAAATAGGGTCACGGCCAGGCCACTTTCCCTGAGCTGATGGATCTGAAGGAGGTTTTAGGTTCATATAATGCAGAGAAATGCACAACAATTTCATGGCACAGCACTGTTTCTTGATAGTCTTTTATAGCAGAAAGGAGCTGGAGACACAGCAGGTGGCTCCCATCATGGAAGGGACACGTTCGCAAGCAAACCTGAAACGGTCTCAGTCCAGCCTGTGCCCTCAGCAGGGGATACGAACCCTCACTCTGGGAATCTCGCCAGTTTACAGTGAAGCCCAGGGATTTGACAGCTCCCACCCCGCCCTCAGTGGGCACAGACAACCCCCGAGCCTTCCCTGAACACGGAGGAAAGAGGGATGCAGACATGGCAAGCCCTGGTGTGGCCTGTACCTCGTACTCTTTGATGGTGCCCCTCCAGGTGCAGCCGCTGTTGATGCACATGGCTGGCAGACTCTCCACCTCCCGCCGCGCCGCGTTGTCGGGGAAAGCCTGGAGGGCAAAAAACAAGCAAACCACAAATACTACTGAGGGGTTGCAGTTTTGATCAGGACTCCTAATTCTTTCTGAAGACTCCTCCCAGGCCAGTTGCCCCATCGCAGCCTTGGAGGTGTGCTAATGGCAACCAAATTGCTGTGACAGCATTAAGTAGGGCACTACCACACACACGTGACCTGGATTTCAGCACCGGGGAGGCCAACACACCAGTCACCACTCTCACTACTGAAGAAAAGGGTTCCTAGGAATAAGGGGTTCTCAGAGCCCATGTTTTAAACAAATACTGCAGTTAGTGACACCAGTGATCCGTTAATTTTTTCTTAAGTGCATTTTTTCTTACCGAGCTTGTTTCCAAAATAGAAATTCCTTCTTCGTATATTCCTTCCTGGATACAGCTGGCACACTTTTGAGGTCCAGCACTATCAGACAGAAAAATAATCATCAAACACAACAAAAAGGAATTGATTCATGATTTAGCAATAAAGTGACTTCCGGTAACTTTACAAAATCAAAGTGCTTTTTTTATTTTTAAAACACCACATTGAGCCTTTTCTCGTGTGTATTTTTGATGCCTATTTCTAATTCTTTTCTCTTCTCATGATTAACCATTCTATTAAGCTTCCCTCACTTAAAGGCAGGAGTGAGACAGAACACAAGGAAACTTCTCTGGAAGCCAGCTTGTGCTTAAATCTCTCCCACTTTGACACAACAACCAAATGATGACTTTTAGGAGCATTCAACAGCTGTGATGAAGTCTGAAGGAGATGGGTCATATGCCTGGATTGCCTCCTGAACAGCAAAAACAATCCAGGAAATTGTGGAAAAGGGAACTCTGAAGCAACAATGAAGGCAAGTCAGAGATTAGACATTCCCTTAGAGAAGACGTGATGCTGAACCTCAATGATTAAACACAGCTCCCTCACTGAGAGGGCTCTGAAAATGAGACTTTTCTCTCCTTTTGTATCTTGAAAATACCTTTTCAAGCATTTTGTGTCCATCCTGAAAGCACAACAGTTACCTGATGATTTTCTTCAGGCAATAGGAGCAGTAGCGATGGCCACACTGTGCCTGGAACGGTCGCCTCAGGATGTTCTTGCAATCAGAGCAGAGGTATTTGACCTCCAGTTTAGTTCCCAGGATCTCCTTTGCAAACCCAGGCTGGCTTACATCCAAAGAACCAGGTGGAGAAGAGTTTGCTGCTGCCATGTGAACGAAAAGTTCTGGCTGTATCTCCAAAGACTGAAAATAAAAGAATTTCCCCTATTTGATTATAACAGCATGGGGGTGATTTTTCATATGAACACATTACTCACAGCATGTTACGCTGGCCCCCAAACCCCACCAACACAGGCAAACACACTGATGTAAACCACATCACACGCCTACTTTCACCTGGCTAAAAACATGGGAGGAAACTTGAATTTTAGAACTAAATCCAGAACAAAGAGACAGAGTGGACAGATCTCATAAAACCCCCTGTCCAAGTTGACTGAAATGCAGCCTGTTCAGAGAAATCACGGCTTCTGGCCCCAAACAAGGTAAAAAACTGTCCTAAACCTGATGAGGAATACAATAAATGGCCTCAGTCCACCAAGAACCTGTTGACACTGAGTGAGGTGACCACAGCCTACCAATGTTTGTTCTCATGCCTGTCAGAAAGCACCAAAATTCTGCTTCAAGGCAGCTGGTCCCAGGGACACATAATGCAGCCCAGATTCACTGGTGATGCTCAAGCAGGCACACATGGCTCTCCATCATCATCATGTCCAGGCTTCGCAAACGAAGATTTGGGAAGGGCTCTACCCACATTTGTTGCAAGACATGGCTCTCCAGAAGGATAGAAAATGAGCACATGAGAGGCACAAGCAAATTGGAAAGGAGAAAAAGAATAAAATGCTTTTGTTTTGACCGCTTATGATGATCTAAAGGTGCATCTCACACATTCATTCACTGAGAGTACATCCCACAACCACCCAGAACGCCCAAGGGAGCATATACATGGAATCTCAGGCTAGTTTGGGTTGGAAGGGACCTGAAAGCTCATTTCATTCCATCCCCTTGCCATGGGCAGGGACACCTTCCACTAGCCCAGGTTGCTCCAAGCCCTGTCCAACCTGGCCTTGGACACTTCCAGGGATCCAGGGGCAGCCACAGCTTCTCTGGGCAACCTGCGCCAGGGTCTCCCCACCCTCACAGCCAAGAATTCCTTCCCAATATCCCATCTAACCCTGCCCTCTGGCAGTGGGAAGCCATTTCACCTTGTCCTGTCCCTCCATCTCTTGTCCCAAGTCCCTCTCCAGCTCTCCTGGAGCCCCTTTAGACACTGGAAGGGGCTCTGAGATCTCCCTGGAGCCTTCTCTTCTCCAGGTGAACACCCCCAGCTCTCCCAGCCTGGCTCCGCCGAAACCCCCAAGAGCGGACACCCCGCGACCCGGGGAGCTCTGTGCCAGACCCAGGAGGGTTCTGTGCCGGCGGGGGCTGCAGGCGGAGGGAGGCCCGTTCCGGCTCCGTCCCCCCGGTCCCCCCGGTGCCCCCCCCGCACTCACCGCCCCTCGCTCCGCACCGGAAACGCCGCCGGGCCCCGCCCCCGGACACGTGTGTGCGCCGGCCCCCGCCCCCGCGCATGGCCACGCCCTCCACATGGCCACGCCCCCACATGGCCACGCCCTCCACATGGCCACGCCTTCCCGCCCACAACGGACAACGGGCAACGGCCCCGCCCTCGACACCGAACGGGACCCACCAAGAACCCCCACACCGACACAATGACTCCGACATAATGACACCGACACAGCGACACACGGAGCCCGACACACGGACCCCCCCCCGCCGACCCCGCCACGCCGACCCCCCGACACACCCACCCCGACACACGGACCCCCCAGCACTGACCCCGACACACCGACCCCCCGACACCGACATACCAACCCCGACGCACCGACAACCCAAGACCCCCACACAGACACCCCCACACCATCACCCATCCCTGCACCTCCAACACCCCCACACCAATCCCTGTCACCCCCCCAACACCCCCACACTGACACCCCTAGTTATGCCTCCTGCCATACCCACTGTCACCCACTGTCAGCCCCTCAGTATCCCTGTCGCCCCCTCACACAGCCCCCACACACCCCCTCTGCCACTTCTCATTTCAGCACCACGTCCCGATGATCCCCCACGGTCCACTACCATATCCCTGCCTCAGGCCACCCCACTGGCAATGAACCCAGCCTCTCGGGAACCCCCATCCACCCCCTGGGTCCCCTTATCCATCCCCAGGGTTCCCTCATCCACCCCCCGGGACCCCCCTAACCCCCTGGGACACCCCATACGCCTCCCTGGGTCCCCTTATCCATCCCCAGGGTCCCCTCATACACCCCCTGGGACTCCCCATACACCCCCCTGGACCCCTTATACACTTCCCGGGACCTCCCATACACCCCCCGGGTCCCCTTATCCACCCCCTGGGACCCCCCTCCACCCCCTGCAGCTGCTGGAAGGGGACCCGGAGGGACTGTGGTGCTCAGCTCCGGGGGCACCCTGACCCCCCCGCAGGGTCCCACCGAGGGACAGACACCCTCCCGCTGCACCCCCCGGGTGAGAAGCCCCGGTCCCTCGGGAGCGGCCCGAGGTGAGCCTTGGCACCCTGAGGAACTGCTTTAAGCCACTTTTGGGCAGCGGTGGGTGCTCCCCTACCTGCGCACAGAGGGCCATAGCCACCCCGCGTCCTGTAGCGCCTTCCCGGGGACACGCGGAGGGGGGAGGCTGGGAAGGGTGGGCGGTGGCAGGACAAACGCCGTGTGAGGAAAGGCGCGGCACAGCCGCGGCGAGGTGCTTTTCGCAGGGGAACTTGCTCAGCGAAAGGTCACCGCGGCAGGATTTGTCACCCGGGGTCCCCAGCCCGCAGTCCCCCGAGCCCGCCTGGGCGCGCGGGCTCCAGGGCTTTACCGCTGGCACTGCGGGGAATTCACCCGGGCTGGGGAAATCCTGCCCGGCCAGAGCCGGGGCAGCCGGCTCAGTGCTGCCCTGACCGAGCCGCCGAGGAGGCTCCCCCGGCAGCGCGGCTGCGAGGACGTGGCCGAGCGGCTCGGGGCTCGGGGCGCGGCGGGGTCGCGGCGGCACCACGTCCTGCTCAGGCTGCCGGGAACGGGACATCCCTGTCGGCACCGGGAATGGCACGAGCAGAGCTCCCCCGCACCGGCACCGCGTCACTCCCTGCACTGCAACCGCACTTTTCCCGGCACACTGCACTGCTCTGGGAACACCAGCATGGAAAGCTCTGCGGGCCTGGAATTCTCGGCTGCGTGATGTCATCCAGCCAAGGAAAACCCTGCCTGCACTTCCTGACCTGCCCGTGACCTGGCAGCAGTGCCGGGGCAGGACGTGCTGTTCCCAAAGGGGCAGGAAACAGCACCCGCTGCGGGACGGGACCACCCGGGGCTGCTTCCAATGACGACGGGATGAGACCAGACCACCTGGGTCTTCTCCCATTCCTGCTGTTGCTTTGCCCCGGCCCCACTGCACGGCCTGCGCCCCGCTGACGTTCCATCTCTCGTCCCACGGTTGCTCTCTCCCGCCCCCCGGGAGCCGGGGCCCGGCGTGTTGCAGTGACGGCTGACAGACGACAGATGACAAACCTCTGTGCTCTCCCGGCGCCTGATTTCCGAGCAGTGCCCAGATCACCATGACCGGGCTCCAGCCACTCCTCCTGCACTTTGTCATGGGGAGACCCCACAAAACCCCACACGGGGAGCGTTAACCCTGTCCCCTCTCACTTCAGAAATGACGAGAGCAGGAGCAGCTTTTCCTGCCTTTACTGCGGAACTCTCTGGGTGATTCTCATGCAATTCAGGGAGTTTCATCGAATTCCTGAGCTGGAAGGGACCCACGAGGACCATCCAGTCCAACTCCTGGCCCTGCACACACACCCCAACAATCCCACCCTGTCCCTGAGAACGTTGTCCAAACACTCCCTGAGCTCTGGCAGCCTTGGGGCCATGACCACTGCCCTCTGGGGGAAGAATCTTTTCCTGAGATCCAACCTAACTCTACCCTGACACAGCTCCAGCCGTTCCCTCGGGTCCTGTCACTGGTCACAGGAGCAGAGATGGGAGCTGCCCCTTGGGAGGAGCTGTAGACCCCGGTGCGGTCAGTCCTCTGTATCCCCTTCCCTGGGCTGAACCAACGCAGTGTCCTCAGCCGCTGCTCCCGTGTCCCCTCGGCCCTGTCCGTGTCCCCTCGGGCCTATCCCGTGTCTCTTCAGGCCCGGTCCTGTCTCCGCTCTCGGGGGCGGGAGGGCTCCCGCACCGCCCGGTACAGGCACCGCGGGCCGCCACTCTGCGCGTGCTCGGCTCGTCTCAGCCGGGCACGGCCATTGGTCAACGGATGTGACAGCACCGGAGAGAAAACCAATCCGTGCCGGGTACCGGGTTACTGACAATGCCAGCAGCCAATCGCAGCGTGCAGGGGCTCATGCTGCCCGCCTTCCGGCTGGCGGGCTAGCTGGCCAATCGAAGAGCTAGAAGGCTGATTGGCAGGCTTTGCACCCAACAGCAGCATCGACGTCACGCTGGGCTCTGCCAAGCCCAAGTCCATAGGGACCGCGCGGCCCCGCCCGCCGCGCCAGCGCCGCTCCCCACCAATGAGCGGCTCCGCCCGTGACGGGCGTGCGCGCCGCCCAATCCACGCGCGCGGCGCTGGCCCCTCCCCGGGGGCGGGGCGGGGAAGGGCGAGGCGGGCGCGGCCCGGGCGGGGTCGTAGCGATGGCGGAGAGCGACTGGGACACGGTGACGGTGCTGCGCAAGAAGGGCCCGAGCGCCGCCCAGGCCAAGTCCAAGCAGGTCAGCGGGGGCAGCGCCGGGCAGCGCGGGGGCTGCGGGGTCGGGGCCGGGCCTGGCGCGGCCGAGGCGGCGGCTCCGAGCTGCGCCGCGCTCAACCCGCACTTTCGCTCTCTCCTCAGGCGATCTTGGCGGCCCAGCGGCGCGGGGAGGACGTGGAGACCTCTAAGAAGTGTGGGTATCACGCAGGGGGGGGCCCGGCCCGGCCCGACCTGGGGCGGCCCCGGGGGCGGCTGCCTGTGGTGGTGGGGGGGCAGGAGGCGGCACCGCCCGGCTGAGCCGGCGGCCTGAGCTGGGCCTAACGCAGAGACCCGAGACCCCCGCGCGCCTCGGGAGCGCGGATAACCCCCCCTGAGGTTCTGGTGGCCCAGAGCACAGCCCCGGCTGGTTTCTGCAGAGATCTTGTGAGAGCTCTTCTGGTCGCAAAACTTAAGCTCCCCAGTTTTGCAGCTTATTTCTGTTGAGAGATTGAATGGTTGTTTATTTTCCTGTGGCGCTTCTCTGTAAAAATCCCTTGTTTCCTGTCTGAAGTAAATCCCCAGGTTCTCTCACTGTAGGGAGGAGATTCTGATGGTTGAAAATAAATAAAGAGATGGTTCTTGAAGGAAGTTTAGTCAGCTGTGTCGAGACACTGAATGTCAAAGACTAATGTGAGACAAAGGATCCAACTTAAGACTTAAATACTGTAAAATGAAACAAAACAAACAATGTGATTTTGGACCTCAGGGTTTCAGTGAAGCTAAGTGCAGTTAGAATTTACTTATAAAAGGCATCAGAAAATTGGTTAAAAGACCCTTATTTGTGCTGCCTCATACCTGAGCAAACAAGATTCAACTTCAAGTATTAACCCCCCTATGCTGCAGCACAAACATGTGTCTGGAGTGAAGTTTGAGTATTAAATCCCGAAGGAAAAGCAAGCTCTGGCCTGTCTGGAGAGAAGTTCAGGTGTAAAGTAGAGAAAGGAGCCTCTGGAGGCCTGTGCTCTGCACAGCACCATGAACAGGGCTGCCCTGATGGGCAGGATCTGGGTGAGATCAGTGCTGATGTTGGCATGTTGTAATCCTGACAGCTCTCTGGGATCCTGAGCAGCTGAGGGCTTGGAAAAAGCCCTTTGATACTTTTTGGCACAGCTCTGAGCCTTGATTTGTTTGTCCTTGGTTGTTTTTTTGTTCTCTCTTGGAATAACAGGGGCAGCAGGCCAGAACAAACAACACTTCATTACAAAGAACACGGCCAAGCTTGACCGTGAAACAGAGGAGCTGCACCATGACAGAGTTTCCCTGGAGGTGGGCAAAGTGATCCAGCAGGGCCGGCAGAGCAAGGGCCTCACGCAGAAGGACCTGGCCACGGTGAGGGGGACCTAGGGCAGGGTTGGCACCTGTGGGTGAGGGTGGGCACCTTTTCTGTCCCCCGTGGGCAGCTGCAGTGGGATGGTGTCATGGGCAGGAAGTTTGGGGAGTGCAGCATCTCTGGTGTCTGATCTCCCGGTGCCTTCAGTTGTCTGGGAAGTGTTTCAGGGTTTGTCTGTGCAGCCCTTGAGCCCCAGCTTGGAGGCAGAGCCTGCTGTGGCTGCTGAGCTGGGAGGTGGGAGGCTGCTCCTCCCCCCCCTCCCCCGGCAGCTTCACCAGTCTCAGGGGTTTGTACCATTGGGGCTGAGCAGCGAGAGCTCGCTGCTGTCTGAAGGAACAGCAGTGCCTGGTGTTCCTGCTCCTCGTGGGAGGGAGGGAGGTTGCAGTCTGTCCAAGATGGATGTTACCCGTGCAGGGAGGTGCCAGTGGGGATGGAGTCAGCCTGGGAGCAGCATTTGATCATCTGTCTGTCATAATCCTGTTCTTTACCTGTGTGAGTCCTGGGGGGCTGCTACTGAGCATTTGCTGTGTTTGAGACTCATCCTCCCTTTTTAGAAAATCAATGAAAAACCACAAGTTATCGCTGACTATGAGTCGGGACGAGCGATCCCCAACAACCAGGTCATGGGCAAGATCGAGAGAGCCATCGGTGAGCAGAGGGAGACTCGATGCTTCCAGGGCCTGGGAGGGATGTGGAGGTTATTGTGGGTGTGGTGCCATGTGTGTTCTGATAAAACCTGGGTCTGCTGATTGAACCAGAACTGGGAGCTCTTGTCCTTTGTCTACACCTTCATGCATGGGGCCATGTCCTGGGGATCACCCCTGTGTGCTTCCCCCCTAAACCAGCGAGATGCTGAGACCCACGGAGGCCTGAGGGCACTTGAGGAAGGATTTAGTGTTGGTGTTACTGTCCTGGGCCAGTTCAGATCCCATTTCCTAGGAGGACAGTTGGTCTTGTTTGAAGTTGGTCTGGTGCTCCTAGAAACTAAAGTAGGATTCTCCCGGACTCTGGTTCCCCTGCCCTCTTTTTCTGGATGCTCTCTTCCTTATAGCCAAAATTGAAGGAAATAAAGTTACTGGGTGAATGATTGAGTGCTGATGGTGGTGGTCTTCTTTGTCTTCTAGGCCTCAAACTGCGTGGGAAGGACATTGGAAAACCGCTGGAAACCGGACCCAAAGGGAAATGACAACAAAGCCTCGAAATCAGTTTGTTCAGACTGATCTGGCCCGGCTGGTTCTCCTCAAACACTCTGCTTATTGCCAAGCTGAACAAGAGGGTTTCAGACTTGCTTTGGGGGGGAACTCTGCCGAATCTGTACCTGCTGTAAAAAGGCAACCTTAAAGAAGCAATTTTCCTGATGTTTGTTTTTCCTTCCTCCTTTTCAGAGATTGAGGATCTAAACTCCCCCAAAAACCCAGACCCTGCCTCTGATTTGCCAGAAAACATGTGCATTGTGATGTTAGCAGCAGCTGATGTTAAGGCACTTAGGGTGGTCTGAAATGTGATCATTTAATTAGAACAGTTTGGGGGACGGGTGGGATATATTATATATAAATAATTTGAGAGAGTTGGGGCTTGATCAGAAATGATGACTCAGTTGCTATATCTCAATGAGTTTTGTTTGTTCCTTCCAGCCTGTTTTAAAGAGATCTATAATAAAGTTTGATACCCTTCAATTGCCCAGGGGAGCTGCTGCATGTGCCCAGCTGGTAGCAAATGTTGTGGCTGGGCATGCCTGGAGCTGTAGCACCTGTTCCTTCTGGGATTGTAATCAAAGGGACACCTAGGCTGCCTGGGATGAGGGCCAGCACTGTCCCAGCCTCCCCGGCTGTGTCACTCCTCCCCCCTGGGGGAGGGCTGCAGCTTGGCTGGCAGCCCAGGGATGGAGTCAGTGCTGTGGAGGAGAGGGGAGGTGTTGGGGTTCTGCAGAGCCAGGCAGGTGCACTTATGGGTGAAGTCTGAGCCCTCCTTACCCAGCTCTGCTGGGGGTTCATTCCTGCAGGCAGGACAGGGCTGTGGGATGGTGCTCTGAGGCATCACCTAAGGGGGACACAGCTGGGTGACAGGGAAACAGGCTCTGGTGACACCCTGGGAAAGCAGGACACCCCAGTGTCCTCTGACTAGGTGTGGGGGGCTGGTTGGGGCAGGACCCTGGTGGGCTGCTCGTTGTGCAGGGGCTGAGCCAGGTTGTGTGTGGGGGGCAAGTTTGGCCCTGGGCTGCTTCGGAGCTCACAGTGATAAGGTGTGAGAGCTGGGGGGAGGGAGAGGTCCCAGGCTGGGGAGATCTGGTGCAGGGTGGGGGCCCAGGCCCTGAGCCCAGCCTGTGCCTCAGGAACTTTTTTGGGTTTTCCAGTGACATTTAAAGGCAAAATGTCGAGAGTCCTACAAGGTGTATGGGCAGGAGGTGGGCATCTGTACACTGAAGTCAGGGCTGCCTGGCGCCCCCCACTCTGCTCCTTCCTGCTCACCCTCCTCAGAGCCCCCCTCCCCAAAACCAGCAGAAATACTGGGCTTCCTGCTCGTGGGGACTCTGCCCTGGAAGCTCTTGTGCTTCATCCTGGGTGTGGAAAGTGGCTCATGCCCCATGCAGCATCTGCTGCTCTTTCCAGCTCTGGGGACCAGGACCCCACACTTCACCCCCTGCTTGGACAAGGACGGTCGCTGGAAGAACTGCTGCCAGCGCCTGCCAAAGCACAGGCACATTGCTCTGTCTTGGAAGATCATGTTACAAACAACAAAAATGCTTTTCCCGAGCACTTGGAGGTAGTGGCAGCAGTGTGCCTCTGCGGGGCCGGCAGCCCAGGTGGTGCCACGGCAGCTCCCTGGTGCTGGGGGCAGAGAGCCGGCGGCTGCTGGAGTGTGGGATCTGGCTGAGGAATGGTTTGCCTGGTGGGAGTGGGCAATTTCTGCTGCTGGCTGATAATTTCAAGCCTCATCCCCCTCCCTTGGCACTGGAGATATAATGACCTTGTCCTGCAAAGAAAGGTAAGTGGGAATCGGTGGCAAACGTAGGCTGTCTGCTGTGAGAGACCAGGATTTCTTCCAGGCTGTAGTGGAGAGAACCCCTGTGCCAGCCCCCCATGACCCCAGCAGAGGAAACCCCAAGTGCACCCAGGGGGCTCCACATCCTCTGTTGGGATCCCTCCTGGGGCTGGGGGCTCTGCCATGGTCCATGTGGCACCAGGCCTGTCCAAGGGACCCACAGCTTAAGCTGCCTCTCGTGGATTTGGTTGCTGGCTGGGTGAGGATGAGCCACGTTTGCCAGACCCCCTTCTCACAGGGCTCTGGGGTAGGAGCACACTCAGCTCTTTCCGGAGCAGCTGCCTGGCAGCAGCAGTGTTTCTAGGTCAGTCCTACAGCTCTGGGCCACTCCTTTACCAACAAGCAGATAAGAGGCAGAGCCCTTTGCTCCCTGTTGCGTTGGTGGAGTGCAGTGTCAGGAGGAGCCTGCCAGCATTTGCTGAGCTTTTAGGAAAATGCTGTTTTGGTGCAGTTGGGGTAATCAGGAAAGTCCTTCACCCTGTCCTTACATCTCGAAAGGTGATGTTGTCAAAGCCCTGGGGAGTGTCAGTCTCCGCTGGTGTCCTGCTTGCCAGCCCTTGCTGCTTCAGCCAGTACCAGCCCCCAGTAGCCACCAGCGTAACAATGATGAGGGCCAGGAGCAGACCCAGCACCACCTCTGCCACGAAGCTGCCTGAGGGTTTCTCTGCAGTGAGAGAAGGGAGAGGAGATGCTGCCAGGCTTGACCCGCCACCCAGAGAGCTGCCTCCAGCCTTGGCCCAGCACCCTGAGCAGTGCTGGGATGACCTTTTACAGCCAGAACCGCCCCCCCCTCCCCGCACCTTCCACTGGCTCCTCCGGGGTAGAATGGCAGCCCACCCCAGCACTGTACACAATATCATCCAGTGCCACTGTCCCCTCCAACGGCCACCTCCGTGTGGTGATCTCAAAGATGATCTGTGAGGGAAGGCGGGATCTGACGCACCCCTGCAGGGTACCCAGCACCCCCGCTGGGCACCTTGCACCCCAGGGTGTCCTCACTGACCTGGAACTCGCTGGGGCTCTGCACAGGCACCATGCTGCCCTGCCAGCCCCGGCTGTGGTGTCCCTCCACACTCCACACCGTGCGCTGCCCTGCTGTGCTGTGCAGCATCACCCGCAGCTCCCCACTGGCTGTAAGGGGGGGGACACAGGCACCGTGGCATCACTGACCACCCAAAGCCCCCAAAAGTCATGGGGCCCTCCCTGCCATACCATCCTCCATTGTGGCAGCAGCACCCACCAGTAACAGGCCATCCCCACCCAGCTGGAGCTGAACCAGAGTGTCCATGGTCCTATGGGTGGGGAGGGAGTTTGCAGCTCCCAATCAAGCCCCCTGCTCCCACTGCGGGGTCATGATGCCCTCCCCAGGGACAGCACCTCCTCCCCACCCCTGTGGTGCTCACAGAGGTGCTCTGGGATGTCCATGTGGTACCAGAACCGCAGGCAGGAGTCAGTGGCAGCAGGCAGGGGCTGGCTCTCCAGCAGGGCACTGGTGCCCCCTGCACCCAGCACACTGGTGTCGAAGTGCACATAGTGACCTGGGCAGGCAGGGACAGAGCACAGGGTGTCTTCCAGTCCTGCAGCCCACCCCGCTTGCCCCACTCCACCCCAAAATGCCCAGAGTAATGCCTGGAGGATGGCACCTCACAGCCCTGCACCTCACTGCCTTTGGGACCGAGCTGTCCCTTCCAGGCAAGGAGGGGACAGGGATGCTGAGGAGCCAGGCCCCCCAGGAAGTACTGGGGTGACCCCATGCATCCCCATCTCCTCTTCCTCCCTCTGGCCATGCTATGGTGCCCAGGCAGGGATGGGTTTCCTACCATTCCTTGTGCCCAGGGTGTGATCCTGCTCAGGGCCGGGGTACTTGGCTAGGGGGACCCCGCTCTTCCAGCCCCAGGCAAAGCTGTGCAGGTGGGGGTCCGAGGGGCTGCTCCAGCCACACATGTCCTGCTCGAAGTCACAGGATGCTGGGAGGAAAGGGGGGCTGTGAGACACCCACTGCTGCCTGGCAGGAGATGGAGCATCCGGGGGCAGGGGGCAGCCACCAGCCCTCTTCCCACCACTGCCAGCTTTGGGCCAGACCAAGCTGAGTGCAGGAGCAGAGTGTCCGGATGGAAGGGACGGGCTGTCCCCACACCCATGGTTGTGTACCCCCGTGGGATGTCCCATCTCCCCCATCTGGTCCATGGTGCCTCCCTGGGGTGGGCTCTCACCTGGCTCAGGGCAGGCTGCGTCCGACACGTGCAGGTCGTCCAGCGCAATGTACCCATGGTCACCCCCAGCTCCCACTGCCTCGAACACCACCTGGGCAGGGTGGCATGCTGAGGCTGGCAGTCAACCCTCATCACCCCTAGCTGTCCCCGGCACCCTGCCCTGTCTCACCTGCCAGTCCCCATCAGGCTGGACGGTGCCGTGGCCGCGGTGCCAGCGACTCCCCTCCATGGTGCTCACACTCAGCACCTTCCTCCGCACCCCGCTCTGCTCCACAAACACCTCAAGGGAGCCTGCCCAGGGCACCCGCCATGGAGGAGGGGTCCAGGGCTGTGCTGTGCAGGACCCCCTTCCTCTGGAGGTGCCCAAAGGGGTCTCGGGGGGGGTGGTGCTCACCTGGGGTCCCGGCGCTCAGCTGGTACCAGAAGGCCAGGCACTGGACGGGCACAGAGGGCTGGTAGGGCTGGGAGGTGAGGACAGCCCTGTGCCCTGTAGGCAGGGAGTCCCTGCCCATGCTCACCACCATGTAATGACCTGGGGGAGAGAAGTCCCCACGCCATGGTCCTTGCTCAGCCCTGCTGGAGGGCCCTAGAGGACCGCTGGGTCTGGGGTTTCTGCCCAGGTTGAGGAGTCTCCCCAGTTTGGGGACCTCCCCAGGACTGGGGAGCCCTGGGGCTGGGAAACTCTGGGTTTGGAGAGTTCCAGGCTTGGGGAGCCCTGTACAGGATTGCCTTCCGCACATCCTGGGCAGGCAGGGAGGGCAGGCAGGACACAGGGTGGGCAGGCAGAGCTGATGTGGTGACAGGCAGGACACTCAGAGCAGACAGGGAGGGCAGGAAGGCAGGGAGAGAGGGCAGGGAAACAGGCAGAGAGGGCAGGGAGGCAGGCAGAACAGTGCAGGCAGGGAGGCAGCAGGGCTCCCCGAGCCCCAGGCTGTCGTGGCCCTGTACCTGTGGCGGTGCCGGTGGTGTGATCGGCTGCGGGGCCGGCAGTGGTGCCGGTGCCGTTGCTCTGTCGCTGCCAGGTGCCCTGCCCGCTGGCTGCCAGTCCACAGCCCTCTGCCTCAAAGGAGCAGGAGAGCTCGGCCCCACAGGGTCCCGGTGTCAGCGCCAGGTCGTCCAGCCCCACGTCCCCCAGGAACCCATCCCGCAGCACCTCAAAGGCCACCTGCCAGCCAGGCAGTGGTGTCAGACAGCCCCGTGCCTCCTTGGTGCCAGGGACACAGAAGGGTCTGGTCCTCACCCTGTATGGCTTTTGGCCCGTGGCGGGCAATGTTGCCCATGCCCGGTGCCAGATGCTGCCCTGGGTCCCCCGGCAGGTCCACAGCACTGTCTCCTCCTCTCCCTCTGGCTGCAGTTTGAGGTTCAGGGTGCCTAAGCAAGGGGTGGGGGCCAGCCATCCAGCACCTGCTGTCCCCACAGTGGAGCCGGCTTGGGGCATCCCCGTGAGGACTCCAGGGGGCACGTACCAATCTGTGGGCCAGCCAGGAGGTACCAGAAGGAGAGACAGCGTGGGGCAGCAGCAGGGTCTTGGCGGGATGTGATGAGCTGTGCCCGTTGCCCGCGGCTCCACAGCGCAGAGGGGTCCACAGACAAGAAGTAGCCTGAGTGTTGGGGACAGCCAGGGTGGAGGGAACATGGATGTGAGTGCTCTGAGCTGTGCCCACATCACCCATACCCCAACTGGGCTCTTCCAGGCTGCTCCAGGCAAGCTCACTCCACAGGTATGGGGCTGCTGGAGTGTACAGGGCGTGTCTTGGCCTGTGCCAAGATGGGAGGGAAGTGGGGTGCCCTGGGATCCCCCAAAGAGCAGCCAGCCTCTTACCTGAGCCGGTGGTGTGGTCAGAGCCCTGTCCCTGCCCCATGCTGCGGACCCATTTGAAGTCACTAGATTGATCCTGGTACCAGCCGCACATGTCCCTCTCAAAGCTGCAGGTCAGCTCTGGCCACAGAGATGTGGTGGAAGTGAGGTGGAAGGGGATAAGGCACTCCAGAAGCAAACGGGTCCCCCTGTTCCCTCTGCTCTCCCGCCCCATTCTTCAGATTCACCCCATGCAGGTGTCCCAGGTCAGAGCAGGTTGTGGCTTCCGCACCATGGTCCTGTCCCTGGACAGGGTGACGGCTGCCAGGCAGCCCCTATGGGGGGACTCTGGGGTCACTGTCCCTGCCCACGTGCCCCTGGCCATACCTGCAGCTGTGGGTGCCACCACACCGAGGTAGCACTGCTCGAACGTCACGTTGTCAACGCCAACACTTGCCGAATCCTGCAGATCCACCAGCGCCAGCAGCTCGACCTGGAGGCACCAGCCATGAGCCCGGGGTGCCTGGCAGCACTGGCAGTGCCCCACTGAAAGACCCCCCCGGCTGGTCCCTGTGTCCCTGGCACACCTGGAATGGCCGGCTCCTCTCTCCCAGGGGGACACGGACACGTTCCCCGGCTGTGTCGCCACGACCCTGCGTGAGCCAGGCCAGCTGGGTGGTGCCAGTGGTGTGATCCAGGATGCGGACAGCAAGGAAGCCTGGCATGAGAGGTGGTGCAGAGGCTGTGGGCACCCAAAACTCCTGGCCACCCTGTAGGAGTCCCCCACAGCCCTGGCCCACGGTCACAGGAGACAGGGACGGGGACAGGGATGGCCCAGCTTCAGGATGGTGTGATGTGGCAAAATGGGGCTGGGAAAGGCAGCAAAGGCAGGTGGGCATGGGGGCCTCTGCATGGGGTGAGTTCTAGGGGCAGGGAGCAGGCAGGGCACCCCAGGGGTGTACAGGGGGTTACCTTGGGGGCCACTCTGGATGCAGTAGCTCATCTCCATGGTGCAGGTGGGGCCAGAGGGGCCCAGCAGAGGAGTTCGTGCCTTTGCAGCACCCACCATCTGTCCTTCTCCTTCCTGGAGGGCCAGGAAAGACCCTGGGCACAGAAACACCCTGTGAGGTCAGGGCTAGAATCCCACATCCACAGTAGCACCCCTAGCCCAGCATCCTGCCTGGGCATCACCCCCTGTCGTGCAGTGGTATCCACCCACCCCAGTAGGGTGGGAGCAGGAGTCCCTGCTCTGGGGCTCCCACAGTGCTGGGGACTGAAGAGCATTGTCAGGGCAGTGGGAACAGCCTCACCTGTGAGGAAGGTGTTGTGCTCAGTGAGCCTCTGCAGACCCCAGCGCAGGTGCCCCACACTGACATCGTGCCAGCCCCCAGCCCCTGACTCGAAGGTTGTTGCCCCTGCAAAGTCAAAGAATCACAGAATCCCAGACTGATTTGGGTTGGAAGGGACCTTAAAGTCCACCTCATTCCACTCCCTGCCATGGGGGGTCTATTTTCCACTAGACCAGGTTGTTTCAAGCCCCATCCAACCTGGCCTTGAACACTTCCAGGAATGGGGCAGCCACAGCTTCTCTGGGCAACCCAAAACTCCAGGCTCAGCCTCGCCGGGCCACTGCACTCCTGGGGGCTGTACAGGCACCCATGTGCCCCGGCCGTTCCAGCCTGTGTCCCTCCAATGCCTGGTCCCCTGCACTGCAGGGTTCCTGGGGTACCACTGCTCCCCTCGGCTCTCACCGCAGTGCTTCTCATCGGAGCCGTCGGTGCACGTATCGTTGAAGTCACAGACCAGCTCTGCAGCGATGCAGCCCCCGCTGTCACAGGCCACCTCCCCTGCTGCACAGGGACTGGCACCTCCCTGGCTCAGCAGCGTGACTGGAGACTGCCCTGATGGTGAAACACCCCAGGATGGAGAGCGGTAGTGAGAGGGCTCAGCAACAGCATTGGTGTCACCCTTTCAAGCCTCAGTCCCCTGTCCCCAGGCACCTTCCTGGCTCTCCATTTCCCCCACTCTGTCCCATTCTGTCCTATCCCATCCCACCCCATCCCACCCCATCCCATCTCATCCCATCGCTGCTGCCACCACATGAAGGGGATCCAGGGCCTGGTGAGAGCTGCTTGTGTGACATGTTTTGGCACAGGGGATGGAGTGTCACAGCCACAGTAGAAGGACACCAATGTCCCAGGGCAAGTGCTTGCTGTGCAGCACCCAGGACGGTCCTATGATGAGCAGAGGGACAGGCAGACTCCATGCTGGGTCCTTTAGGGACGGTGACACGGGCACAGACACGTGGGACTGGCTGCCCACACTGGAGCAGGGTAAGGGATGCAGCTCACCCTGCTCCTTCACACAGCCCGGTGACAGGATCAGGTCATCGATGGCCACAGTGCCCCCGCTGCCAGCCACCCCCTCGATCAGCACCTGCAGAGAAGCACCATGCCAGCAACATCACCATGGGGTCCTGCGCAGTATGGGGGGACTGGGGTGACACCAGGGAGCTGTGGGATGGGGGAGCCGGCACCTGTTATGGGCTGACACACTTCCCCCAGGAAGGGACTTGGTGGGAGCAGGGGCTGACAGGGGTGTACAGGGTGGGCTGGCAGGGCCATATTGGGCTTAGGGGGATGGTGCTGCCCCTGCACGCAGCTGTGGCCTGCAGATGCCTGGGATACCACAGGGGTGCCATCAGGGTGCCCCCAGGGTGTCTTTGGGGTGCCCTCCAGGCTCAGCTGGGAGCGGGCAGGGTTGTGTCGGTGGCAGGGGGGGACAGGAGCCAGGACAGTGGGAAGGCATGGATGGGCAGTGCGGATGAAGACACTCCAACCACCTTCCATTTCCAGTGGGGTGGTCCTGGGCTAGGGGCTGGTATGGAGATTTGGAGGTGTGGGCATAAGGACATGGGGGTGGCATGTGCCAGCACCAGAGGCTCAGTTCTGGTTCCCAGTTCAGCCCTGGTCCCATGAGTGCCCACTTGGACTGGCCCTGTGCCCCTCACCCTGCAGGCAGCCCAGCTCCCCCCAGTATGGAACCAGCCCACCTTGAAGGCCTCTGTCACATTGAAGTCCACTCTCTCTCGGACCCAGCAGCTGCCCATGTCCCCTGTCCTCTCCCTCACCAGCTGCTTGATGGAGTTGGTCACATAGAAGATGCTGAGGTTACTGCTGGCCGAGCCGTGGAGGTGGCAGTATAGCACGAGCTGGGGTTGAGGGAGGGCCGAGTTTCAGGGCAGGGTCACACAGGCCCCTGTGCCCCACAGGACGCTCACAGAGGTAGGGCCGGAGGAGCTCAGAGCTCCCAGGGGACACTGGGAGCTGCCACCATATGAAGGGGACCCAGGGCCTGGTGAGAGCTGCTTGTGTGACACGTCACCAAAACATTCCCAAAAACCTGCTGCCCATCCCCAGCAATGGCTGACTGCAGCCCCAGCCCCACGAGGGACCCCACAGCTGGGGACTCCATGTCCAGCCACCATCGTGCCCACACAGGCAGTGACACAAGGCCTCAGCTGTGACTCACAGAGCAGGAATTAGTGGCCTGGAAAGTGGGGCTGCTGAGCTGAGCTGTGCCGCTGGCCCCCGTGTTGGGGGCACTGTCCACGTGGAGGAAAAACCCTGTGGGAGACACCGGGAAGGGGCTGAGTGGAGCCAGGCAGGTGTGTGAGTGCAGGACACCTCTGTCCTGGCACAGCTTTGAGCAGAGCCCAGGTGTGTGTCACCCCAGGGCACGTCCAGCCCAGGACCTGTGGTGGGGGACATGTGTCATACCAGCCCTGCTGTTGGTGCTGTGGTCCCGGGTGGGGAAGCCATACAAGGTGCCCAGGTTCAGGCTTGTGTTCCTGTCCCACGATGGTGACCCAGGCTCTGCCTCCCAGTCGCAGAGATCATGCTCAAAGGAGCAGTTGGTGAAGGACTCTGTGGGGAGAAGGGGCAGCTGTGACCCAGGGACGGGAGTCCCAGCCCTCTCATGGACAGGTAATGGGCTGGGCTGATGCTACCCCTCTACAAACCCTCGGGGTGATTTTGTCCCCCCCTGGCTGCACAGCTGTGGGGCAGACCTGGGCGGACCCCTGCCAGCCCACAGCACAGCTTTTCCCCACCAAGGCAGAGCCACAGTCCATCCGTGTGGTCAGGGAGCTGGTGGGCAGGACCCCCTCCCGGGGCCAGGGCTGCTCACTGCAGCTTGTCGTGTCCTCGTCCGAGCCGTCCCCGCAGTCGTCGGTGCCGTCGCAGAGGCGGTGCTGTGCCACGCAGGAGCCGCGGCTGCAGCGGATCTCCTCGGCCCCGCAGTCCTGCTGCCCGGGCCCTGGGGCGGGGGAACACGCGTCAGCAAGTGGCTGGCCCCACAGGGGCGTGGTGGGCACTCCCACATCTTTCCCTGGGGTGGCTCAAGGGACAGGTTTTCACTGTCCACCCCATGCCAGGGCACAGTGCCTCAAGACACAGTGGGCAATGGGAGAGCTCCCCTGGGGTGCAAAGCCCCACCCAATTCCCCCGAGACCCTGTCTCATATATCAGCAGATGTGGGACTCACCTGGCAAGCCACAGTTCCTGAAGATGATGTCATCGAGTGCCACCTCTGCCCCGCAGGCGGGTGGTTGTGTCAGAGAGAAGATAAGCTGTGATGGGAGGACAGGGATGGCATGAGCTGCCTGGGTCCCCTGGGCTCCTGGAGCACATTCCAGCTCCTCTGGCCCCAGCCTGGAGGGACAGTACCTGGGTACCGACACTGTCTCACCTGGAACTGCCCCGCGATCCGGCCCAGGTAGGCAACCAGCTGGTGCCAGCCCTTGCTGCTGTGCTCAGGGCTCTGCCACAGCCCCACCACCTCGTCCCTGTATGCCACGTCCAGGCGCAGCACCGGCTGCTCCATCTCATTGAGCCCTGCAGGGAGCCCCAGAAGTGCCCTTGGCACTGGGCATCCCAGGGGCCCTGCCAGCTCTGGGGACTGGAGCTGGGACTCCTGGGTTCCACCAGCTCTGTGTGTGGAGTGTGGAAGAGGCAAGTGGGATGGCAAGGACTGCCTTGCCATCCTGCCCCTACCGTGGGGGTCCCATCCCTCCCCACTGCCTCCCTCCCAATCCTCACTGCCCTGTGCCTGGTACTCGATGCTGTCTGTGCCTACCTTGGGTGCCCTCACAGCTTCCTGAGAGGTGGTACCAGGCTCTGATCTCACATGTGGCAGCTGCTTCCTGCATCTCTGGTGACCTGAGCCAGGCTGTGGCCACAGTCTTTGTAGGGGGGGACACAGTCACCAAGAACGAGCCTGAGGAGGGCACAGAGCAGAGGAGGGACTGCAGCCCCATGGGATGGCACAGGAGCTCTGCCAACACCAATCCTGCCCCTCCACAGGTCTGCTCCATCCCCTGCACCCTACAAGGGTGGGTGTCCTGGCACCCTGACTCGAGGGCACCCACAGCCCAGCAGGGTGGTGCCGTGGGTGCCCAGAGAGCACTCACCAGCCAAGCAGCTCCTGCTTACCCAGGTCGGTGCCCATGGTGTGGTCTGAGTGAGGCCCTGTGCCCCACGTGGCCAGGCTGGCCCGGCCCCGCACCCATCTGTATGTTGAGGTGCCCACGTCCTGCCAGCCACAGTCACCATCCTCAAAGTCACAAGTGAAGGGGGTGCCCAGCACTGCTGAGCCTCGCAGGTACCCTGAGGGTGGGCAGATGGGGGGTTCAGGGCAGCTCTGGCACCATCCTGGGGTCCTGTGCCCATCCTGGGGGACCCTGCATCCACCTTGGGCACCAGCATCACCCCGGGGACTTGCACCCACAAGACCCTCCACTCCGTCGCCTGCTGTCATCCCAGGAGCAGGGCCTGGGAGTGGGTCTGGGGAGTCTGGGCACCCACCACACTGGTTCTCGTCGGAGCAGTCACTGCAGTCGCAGACAAAGTCGCAGAGCTGCTCAGCTGCGCTGCTGCAGCTGTTGATGATCACTGACCCGCAGGGGAGGAGGGTCTTGGCTATGGGAGAGATAAGGGGGCTGAAAACCCTGCAGGGAACCAGGCATGTTGCCCACAGCAAGTGACAGAGGGCACAGGTAGCTTGCAGGGGATATTTGTCTGGGCACTCTGGTTTAGGACCCTGATGGGAGGGGGGGGCAGGTCACACTGAGCTCTTCCTTGGATGGGACCCCCTGTCACTGCCCTGGCACTCTACATGTCCCACACTGCCATCTCCCACTCTCAGCCCCACTCCTGTGTGCCCCACTCTGGCACCCTGAGCCAGAGCCCACCGGGGCACTGAGCCTGCTATATCATAGTCCCAGCCCCCATTTGGGGAGAAACAGGAAAATCTGGGCGTTTTCTGTCCCATGCTGAATAAAGCCATTGGTGATACCCAGCCCGGCACTGGGAGCTCCAGCACTTGCTCACCCTGGGAACCCCGCGTTGACCTTCACCAGCAGAGCCCAGAGGAGGTTTTGGCTGGGCTGTACCTGCCCCGGCCCCCCCAGCCCGAGCAGCAAAGCCCTCCCAAAGCTGGGGAAAACAAAGATCCCCATGGCAGCCCAGGCTGCGGAGGACCAGAGTGGAGCAGCCAGCACGTTCCCTGCCCGCGGCACAACCCCCGTGTCGGCAGAGCTCACCCAGCAGCACCAGGAAGACCAGCACCTGCCCGCCTGCAGCCATCCCTGCCTCTGCGACAGTAAAATGGAGTTCGGAGAGGCCACACCGTGAGCCCCGGGCTGGAATCTGCTCCCCAGGACCTGCCTGCTTTGGACTTCAGCCCCGCCGTTATCGGCTCCCCGGCCTGGCAGAGGGATTATGGCGAGGTTGTGCCGAGCTGGGACAACACACCATGGTCCTGCCACCCGGCACGCTTGCACTGCAGCAGCGAGCTGCCAGCCAGGTGCCCCAGGGAGACCTTCAGCTTTCCCCCACTGAACCCCTCTTCTTCAGCCCCTCTTCTCACCATGGACAAGACCCTGTTTTGACTGGGACAGGGCACAGCCGGTGACACGCACCAGCCCCTCGAGGGATGAGGCCACTTCCTGCGAAGTCAGGGATGCTGCCAGCCCTGCGGGAGAAACTGGCACCTATGCCAGGGACATGGTGGGTGCGTCAGTCCCCTGGGCTAGATCACAGGGAGAACCAGTCCCCAAGCATAAGGAGCAGTGGGAGAGCCTTTGGGTGCAGGGCACGGGCTGGCAGTGGGCTGCACCCTTGCCAGGGAGGGCAGCTGTGCTGGGGGTCAGCAATATCCAATATTCCCAATATCCCATCTAACCCTGCCCTCTGGTAGTGGGAAGCCATTCCCCCTTGTCCTACCACTCCAGGCCCTTGTCCAAAGTCCTTCTCCAGCTCTCTTGGAGCCTCTTTAGGCAGCGTGAGGCTCTAAGGTCTCCCTGGAGCCTCGGGTTTCTGAGATGCCATAAGCAGGAGCCAACCCTCACCCTGTCTGTACCACTCTGGCTGGAGGGAGCAGGTCAGCACCCAGCTCATGACTCCCACGAGGCAAAGGGGCACAACTTTGGGGCCACAATCAGGTCACTCCTGGGGCAGAACACCCCTGGCAGAGCCCCAGCAAGGGCTGATCAGCTTGGAAGAAGCGTGGCTTGGCAGCCAGAGCCTCACAGGGCACCACCAGTGCTGCCTGGTGATGGCAACTGCTGCCCCCACCTGCTTCCCCACCTGGGTAGGGGAAGCTGCTGCCAGGGCTCATGGGGGCTGCTAGCCCACGGAACCCTTCTCACCTCTGCTGTTGCAGCCCCTGTGCCCAGAGAAGGGCCCCTGCTGAGCGCAGCTTCTCCCCGTGCGCCGGTGGCCTTGGACCGCAGATTGCAGTGGGATTGCATCAGACGCAGTAAAACACAGGCTCAGCTCCTTCCCCCAGCACCAGTCAGATCCAGTGGGACCAGCAGCTCCACACTCCCCAGCCTGGGCACTCCAGGCACAGAAAGAAGCCCTGCCCTGCCCGGGAACCTGGGAGCACCGAGCTGGCCATGGGCCAGTGCCGTGGCAAAGCAGCCACTGGCCTCCTGGGTGCTGTGGGCAGAGCATATCCTACAGGTCTGAGCCCTCTTCTTTGCCTGGGGATGCTGAGCTCCCACTATGAGATGTGAGTATACCGGAGCAGATCAAGCCAGGGGCCCTGACGACGATCACAGGATGGTACAGGCAGGAAGGGACAACTGGAGGTAATCCAGTCCCACCCCTCTGCTCCAGCAGAGCTCCCTGGAGCAGTCACTCACGATGTGTCCAGGTGGGTTCTGAGTGTCTCTAGGGAAGGAGATTCCCTGATGATGATGAGAGGACTGGACTCCCAGGAGGAAAGGCTGAACTGGAGGTGCTTGGTCTGGAGAAGGTGCAGGGGGATGCTACCCATGTGTGTAAGCCCCAGCAGGAGGGTGCAGGGAGCTGACCCTTTGAGCAGGGAGTGCCCTGGGAAGGGCCAAGACAGCGAGGACAAAGCGAGAACAGCAAACATCACTTTAAGGTTAAGAGAAACCTTTTTTCTTGTGAGGGTTCTCAAAACCAGAGCAGGCTGCCAGGGGGTCTGGGTTCAGGGACATTCCCAAATCCCATTTGGCCACAGCAACCTAATCATAGAATAAAATCATGGAACGATGGAATCCCCTGTGTTGGAAGGGATCCACAAGGACCATTGAGTACAACTCCTGACACTGCACAGGACAGCCCAACAATGTCACCAGGATAGACCTGCTGGAGTTGGTCCTGCTGTGCTGATGGACGGACAGGGCATCCCAGCTATGCCTCCAAGCTCCATGATCCAAAGACTTGCAGGGAAGCTGTGCTCCTCCGTGTGACTACTGGGTGACATTCCCTCCTGGCACAGGGGAGGGTCACACCTTGCAGAAAGGAAGGATGAGGCACAAGAAAACCTTTTTTTTGCCCACGAGGCTCATCACCCTCACTGTGAGCTTCCTCTGGAGTCTGGGGCAGGACACTGGGCACAGGCCTCACCCTGCCTTTCCCTCCCCCAGGCCTGAGAACCCATCACTTTCCTCCCTCCTGTCTCAGCCCTTCCCAAGGCAAATCCCAATGGACCTCCTGTTGTCCCTACCCCAGACCCTGCCCACTCCAGGGTCAGACCCCCCTCAAGGGGCTGAAACCCTGCAGGGTCTCTCTTGCTGTCAGCGGGCGCAACCCAGAGCTGGGAAAGGAGCAGCCGAGCCATGAATGTGGCCACCCGAGCAGCTGTGCTCCCCAACGAGTTTAATTCTCACAGACACGCGTGGGATGAGCCCCCGGCACCGGGAGGCCGGGATGGAGTGACCACTGACTTCACCAGCTTTGCCATGCCAGGAAGGCAGGAACACCCGGTACATGGACAGTCCAGTGATGGTGGGGAACAGGCGAGTTCTCACAGAGGAAAAGCAAGAGAGCCCAGAGCACTGCCGGGCACAGGGAGCCTGCTGGCACTGCCTCGGCACCACGCCAGCTCCAGGCTGGCCCCACGGCCAGAGCAGTCAGTAACCTTCGTCTGCCCAGGTGATCTCGTAGTCAGGGTACTCGGCCTTCAGCTTCTCCGTGGTCACAGCGTGGTCAGCTCGCCCAAAGCCCTGCACAGGAGAGACGATCCCCAAGGAGAGCTGGTGGGTGGCCACCCGTGGGGGAGCCTGACAAGCTCCAGAGAGGCCCTGGAGCCTGTGTCTGTGACAACCCTCTGTGGCAGCTCAGCCTGGCTCCAGCTGCGGCTGGCACAGCACCCAGGCAAGGGGACAGCACCACCCTGGAGCTGGGAAAACTGGCAGCACTGTGGCCTGGGGACCAGCACCTTGCCCTGGCCCTGGCTGGGCTCTGTGCCGAGATACAGGCACAGCCAGGGTCAGCACCTAGGGACCCCCTGCATGGGTGACGCCCCCGAGGGTGCCACCAGTCACCCTGACAGGGCCCCACAGCACCTAACACGCCTGCAGTGACACACTCAGGACATGCAGACACAGCGAGGACACGGCTGTTGTGCAGCCCAGCTCCTCCGCAGTACCCAGTGCTGCAGGACCCCTGGGGTTGTTGGATGGTGCCCAGGGCAGGCCTGGGAGGCTCTGGGTGTGTGGCTGTCCCACGGGCAGAGACTGGAGAGTGCGTGGGGTGCCCCTGCTCTGGGCGAGGATTGCTCACCCGAGAGGGTTCTGTGGGGTCTTCCCTCCCTGGGACCCCCAGGACCCCCGGCAGCACCGCCGGGCTCAGCCCTTCCATCCCCGGGGGGACGCGAGGCTGACTCGGCCACGGTCAGCGGGACCTGTCGCGGGGAGGGAGATGCCGCGTCCGCGCGTGGGTCCCCCACGGCCCTCGCTTACCACCGAGTACCCGTAGACGTGGATCTTCCTCTCCTCGGGGCGGTGGGCGAGGCGGCCGCCGCCCAAGCACTCGCAGCTCAGGCCGTGCCGCGCCAGCTCCTCCGCGGTGCGCTCGAACAGGTCGGCTGCGGGGAGGGAGCGGGGGGGGCACGGGGACCCCCCGACTCAGGCGGACTGGACTCCCGGCAGCCCCCGCCCGTCCCCGGGGCCCGCGGCCGCGTCCCTCGGGACCGCGGGCCGGAGCTCCCCCCCGCGGCCTCGACCCCCTCACCATGGTACTCGGCCCAGCCGTGGCCGCGCACGACGTCCTTGTGTGGCGCGCCAGCGCCGCGCACCCGCAGCAGCACGTACTTGAACACGCCATCGCCATCGATCTGCACCACCGGCACCCGCGACAACGCCGCGCCCGCCATGCCGGCCCGCCCCGCCCCTTCCGGGGTAGGGCCCAACCAGCGCCAGCGCCCGCCCCGCCCCTTCCGTCCCACCGGCCAACTGGCGCCCGCGGGCTGGGCCCCGCCCACAGCCGGGCGGTGAAGCCGCGCCGGAGACGCAGGGTCCTGGCGGGCGGGGCCGCGGCTCTGGGGGCGCCGGGGCTGCTCCGGCCCGGCCCGGCCTCGGCGGTGGCAGCAGCGGGAGCGGCAGCGGGGCCTGGCTGGGGAAGGGCAGCAGCAGCGGGGCTGAGGCCGCGGCCGGGCAGGGCGGCGCGGCCGCGGGCCCTTTGCCTCGGCCGGGGCTCTGCCCCCCCGTCCCTGCACCCCCGGGCAGCGCCGGCCCCGGCGCCGTCACCCCTTACCGCCGATTCCTTCCGGCCCCGGTCAGACACCCTGTCAGACACCCCCCGCCCGCCCCCTGCGGATCCCTCACCCCGCCCGCCCTCCCCCGGCAGCGGCCGGGGACCCCTCAGCCCTGCCCCGCTCTGTGCCCGGAGCCCGCGTCGGGGCCCGGGACAGCCCAGGTGCCTCCAGACGCCCTTGGGCCCCCACAGTCCCTGCTGCTCGCGCAGTGACACGCTCAGGACACACGGACACGGTGAGGACACGGTCCTGGTGCAGCCCAGCTCTCCCTGCAGCACCCGGCCGTGGGGCCGCTGCTGGACCCCTTGGACTTGGGGGCCCTGGAACAGGCCCCAGGGGGCTCTGGGTGAGTGGCAGCCCGGCGAGCAGGGGCTGGGGGGTGCATGGGGTGTCCCCACTCTGGCCAGGCACCGCTCACCTGAGAGGGCTCTGCGGGGTCTCGCCAGGCTCTGGGCTCTAGGGCAAACCTTGGGCTGGGCTCCCTTCATCCCTTGGGTCCCTCTAGCACTGCTGGCCACCTGCAGCCCACTGCAGCCCCTTCCCCTTGGTGCCACAGCCAAGGGAGTCCCTGTCCCACCGCCACAACAGGACAGCACCTATCTACAGAGGGGATGCCCCAAGGGTGCCCCTCGCCCTGCGTTCACATGATGTCGTCCAGGAGGTTGGGGCTGGCCACCCAGTCGAGGGTGCGGGGCTCGGAGGCTGCCATGATCATGCACATGAACTGTTTGCCCGTCCTCTTGTCAATGGGGTAGATGGTGGTGGGTGTGAAGCGCTTGTTGCTTTCCACGAAGTCGCAGAGCTGCTCATAGACGGCGGGGAACTCGTGGCGCAAGAAGACGCCACGGATGCGCAGCTCCCGCTGGATGTTGATGAAGCAGATCTCCCGTGCCTTCCGGCCCTCCTCCCCCTCCTTGTCGATGTCTGCCGTGCCGGGCGGTGGCGTCAGGATCAATGTCTCCATGTCCCGCTCCTTCTTCAGGATCTTCTTTTCGGGGCTGGAGGAGGCTAAGGCCACCTTGGCGTATTTCCTGACCGTTGGCACCTGTGTCTTGGGCGATGGCCTCTCCGGCACTTTCTGGGTGACGGCCACGGTTACATTCAGCAGGAAACATTCGTTGGGGTCGTACTGGTTGCCCGTCTCCCGCAGCTCCCGGGCATAGTCCCCCAGGTTGTCTGAGTAGCTGTCCAGCTCCCGCAGGGACAGGTAGGTGGGGGACATCAGCAGGCTCTCCAGCCCAAACTGGAGGAAGTTCTCGGCCGAGCCAGCGTTGGGGAAGCCAAGGAAGAGGACACCGCGGCCGCGGGAGAGGTATCCGACCTTGGCAATGCGCGAGAAGGCCTTGTGCACCTCGGCGTTCTCCCGGCAGAACTGCAGGACATGGCGGCAGACGCTGCCCACCCGCCCGTAGACGCAGCTCGCCTTGTGCGTGTCCCAGTCCTCGCGCCGGCAGTGCCGGGAGCAGTAGTAGGTGTAGCAGCTGTGGCACGATTTGAAGTAGAGGCAGGCGTTGAACATGGTCTCCGTGCGCCGGCACTTGGCGTTGGAGCACATCATCATGTCATCCTCCTCTGCGCTCAGGTCGGGCGAGCAGTTCTCTGGCGACTTCTCGAAGGGGCCGGCAGCCAGCGGGGTGGGCGGGGGCCGTGGGGCGCCAGCGCGGGAGCTGGGGCCTGGCTGCTCCTTCGTGGGTCGGGGTCCCTCGGGCACATTGGGGGGGACCCGCCTGCCCTCGCCCCGCCGGGGGGGCCCTGGGGTGCTGCTGCTCAGGAGCTGCTTGAGCTGCTCGGCGAGGCTGTCCCTGTCCCCAGCACGGTGGCCTGGCGCTGGCTTGTAGTCGATGACGAGGTCGGTGATCAGCTCGTCCAGCTGCTCCAGGCTGCGCTGGCGCCCTGAGCCGCTCTCCCTGGGGCCGGGCTGCGGGGTGGAGGGCACGGCGTAGGGCCCGCGCTCCTGTCCCGCGTCCAGCATGTCCCAGCTGGCCGAGCGCCTCTCGCTGCGGCCCAGCCCATCGGCACGGATGTCGTTGTCAGTGATGGTGATCTCCGGCGTGACGTACCAGGAGCGGCCTGGGGGTCCGCGGCTGCCATCAGCATGCACCCGCTCAAGGATGGAGCTCTCGGAGAGGGACAGGGCGGCATAGCGCTTGGGTGAGCTCGACAGGTTGATCACCACAGGCTGCCGGCGCTCCTCGGGGGATAAGGCACGGTGCTGCTCCTGGGCGAGCAGGTTCTCATAGCTGCGCCCGCGCTGCAGGGCCTCCTCCCTGCGTGCCATCGGCGCCAGGATGTTATCCCAGGATTTGGAGTAGTGCTGGGTCTCCCGGCCCAGCCGTGGCGGGGTCACACCGTAGCTGGTGTGCCAGGAGGAGAACATGGCCTCGCGCCCGGCCGGCTGCGGAGTGAAGCGTGACACTTGCAGGGTTTGGTAGGGCAGCGTGGCCCGCTCGGGGCAGTACCAGTCCCCGAAGTGCAGGGGCTGTGCGCTGCGGGGTGGGGGGCACGTCCGCGACAGCACCTCCCGCTCCCGGTACTTCCCATAGTCCTCGGCATAGAACAGCCGGGCAGAGGACCCGAGGGCCGGGTATGTCCGAGCGTCCTCGGCGTAGAGGGTTTTGACAGGGGTCCCGCGCGGGGCATAGAAACGGGGCTCATCCCCATAGAAGGCGCGGGCAGGCGCCTCCTGCACTGGGTAAGCCCGTGCCTCCTCCACGTACAACGTCCGGGGCGGCATCGTGTGGACGGCAGCCTTGGCCGGGTCCTCGGGGTAGAAGGGCTGGGGCACGGCGTGGCGGCCGGGGTAGGGGTAGCTGGCGTAGCCGGAGCTACGGAGGGGCATTGCAGGGCTGGGGCACCGTGCTGTCTCCTCCGCGTAGAAGAACTTGGCGGGGACGCCGGCGGCTGAGAAGGTCATGCAGCCCCTGTCGGGGTACTCCCTGAATTCCCGTGAGGCCGGCACCGGCACCGTCTGGTACGCCAGCACCCGGGGATCGGCCTCATAGTACTCAGCGGGGTAGGGCAGGAGCGGGGCGTCCCCGCTGTAGGAGTCGCTAGGGGTGGGTGTGCGGGATGCGGACGCCTGCCGGCTCCCCGGCACGGCCAGGCTGCGGGCGGCGCCGGGGGCGCGGGGCCAGCGTGACGGCTCCGGGCGGTTCGGGGTTGCCCGCTGGCTGCGCGCTGTGTGCACCAGCACCGCCTCGTCCGGCTTGATGTCCACCCGGCATTTGACGTGCGGGCTGGCGCCCACCTTGGCCCCCGGCCCCTCCTCGTAGCAGTTGCTGCCCAGGCAGAGCGGGGAGATGCGGCTGACGCTGCTGCGCTGCGGCTGCAGTTTGATGGGGTGAACCTCGTTGGCCAGCGCCCGCAGCGGCACCGGGCCGTCGCGGCGCGGCGAGGGATCAGGGCGGGAGGGCTCCCGTGCCACCCGCAGCACCTCCCGCCCGCGCCGGGCCAGCGGTGGCGATGCCGCCACGGTAATGGGCACCGCGGTGAAGGTGGACTTCACCCGTGGAGCGCTCTTGGAGCGGGCGCGGCGCTTCGGCTCACTCCGAGGCGCGGGGGCTCTGCCGACATAAGGGTCCTGCTTCGGTGGCGCCCGCCTGCCCGGCGGCCCCGGCGTGGGCTCAGGCGTGCCGGGGCGCGGGCACGGGCGCTCCATGGCCGGGGGGGTGCCCAGCTCTTCCAGCGACTCGAGGAAGTCAAAACTCCTGCAATGGCGCTTGTTGAAGGGCTGCGGCTCGCGGGACAGGGATGAGGACATGGAGGCGTCACATTGTGCCAGGGGCTGACAGATAACGGAATCCCCAGGGGCTGCAGTGGCCACTTTGATGTCTTGGTACACTGTGGACACCAGGATGTCAGGTGGGTCTGTTCGTGTCATCTTAAAAGCAACTCTTCTCCCACCTGTCAGACGGCCTCAGAGGACGGTCGCCCGCCCTGCAAGAGAACACATGAGGCGCCTCAGTCCTGGTGGGACCTCAGATCAATCCCCATGGCTCCTGGCTCAGGGCAGGGAGTTGGCCACCTCTTCAGAAATGAGGGTTCAGGGGCGTCCTAGCCTCCACTGCTGCTGTTAATAGTCAGATCTCAGGTGGGGGAAGAAGCTGCCAAAAATCTTCAGATCCGGGTGCAAATCACGGAGTGGCTGGCAGGCCACACGCGGGGGCAGCCGGGCAGCTCTGGGTGCCAGCTCAGCGCAGGGAGAGAACACGAGGCACCATGCCCTGTTCCTAGACCATAGGACACAGGGACTGTCTTGCAGCATCACGAGAATCAGAAGCTCTGAGCAGGGCTGGGGGGACTCACTGCCAGGGTTTTCCTTAGGGAGTGTGTGCCCAGTCCTGGTGTGAGCACCTGAGTGGTGAGGGGTCTCCTGGGACTGTGTGCACCCACGTCCCAGCACCAGCACTGCAGGCAGGAGCACGGCCCAGGAACGGGCACATTGACCACCCACCATGGTAGCTGGGAAGCCCCCACAGCCTGGGGCTCTCTGGGGTGCAGGAGCTGTACCCCCCCCCCCGATGGCTGCACCCGCTGTGGCCCACAAACACCCCTGTACGGTGGCCACAGTCCTGGCTGCTTGGAGCCGCATCGCTCCCTGGGGCTTCCATGGGTGGCACTGGGGGTGGCAGAGGTGCCCCAACACACATGTCAGAAGTAACTCTTCCATTGCCTCCCAGTGCCAGAAGGGCTGTGCTGGCTCAGCACCCACTGGCTTTGTCCTCTCCATGTCCCATGGCTATGACACAGCCCCTGGGCTGGAGGGTGAGTGGGATGGTGGCTCCAGCTCCCATGGGACACAGGGTCTGACACCCACCATGTGCCAGCACCCTGCACCCCACTGCTCCAGGACGATGCTGTTGGGTGGTCAGGGTGCGCAGAGTCCCCAGCCACGGTGTGACACAGCTGTGTGACAATGGGGACTTCAGCACAAGCTCCCTAGAGCAAGCTGGGGGGGCAGAGGAGGGGGTTTGCCTGCAGGACTAGGTTGTGTTGGCCCTGACCTTCCCCACCAGCCCCTCCAGAGTTGCTGTGGGCTGTGACCAACACCAAGGGACATGCACAGGTTCTGTCCACAGTGGGGACCCTCAGCTGGCTGTCACCTCACCATGTGCTCTGAGCATTGCTTGTTTTGGTCACTACAGGCCCGAGAGCACTAGTGGATACTGGCTGCTCCACAATGCACTAAAGGTGGGTGGCAAAGGCCACCAAAGGGTACTTGGGTTTAAAGAGCAGCAGAGGACCACAGGGAAGGTGTTTCTTGGAGGAAAGAAATTGACTTTATTTGGCAAGAAACATCAACTTTGCAGGGATGGGGAGGGGGATCTGGATTCCCCCTCATTACCTGCCTCAAAGCCGGGGGTTGCGGATGCTGGAGCTGAGGTGAAGCCAGTGGGGTTGGGGTGTCTGTCCATGGCATGAGCTGGGGAGAACGGGATGCCAGGAGGACAGAGGTGGGGGTCCCAGTGTCTCCTTCCAGGGCTGGGAGGGCAGGTTTGCCCCCGAAGTGGTGGCCCAGCACTGGCCCCTCTGCATTACAGTGTGTGGGCACTGGGCTGGATCTGGGCAGACAGCACCTCACACCGCAGCGATGCCAACGGTGGTGTTGGGAAGCCCTTCCCCGTGGTGTCTGGGTGGCTGGTGAGCAGGGAACTATAACCCAGGGTCCTACCTGGTCCGGCAGCAGCAGGGAGGGGGTGAGTGGGCTGAGGTGGCGGCTCCATCCCAGCACTGCAAAATAAACAAGGCACATGAGGGTCCTGGGGCACCCCCAGCAGTGCTGCAGGGCCTGCTGCCAGGGCCATGGATGCCTTGGGGGCACAGGGAGCACCCCGAGAGACCCCTACAGCCACAGCCCTGCTGAAGCAAACCCAGTGAGGCCGTTGTGCACATTCCTGTGCATCGGGGATGTGGGCGCTGTCCCACAGGCACCAGTGTGTCCCCCACCCACCCAGCAGCACCCGTCGCCCATGGAGCCACAGGGTTGCCATGGTTTCTCCAAATTATTCCTCCTCTGCAAGGACAGCGTGGGTGAGGACAGCGTGGGTGTGTGAGGAGGCTGCGTGGGGGGCTGGGACTCCACAGCAGTGCAGGGATAGCAGAGATCCTGCACAGCCACGGGCACCCCCTGACCATCGTGGGGGGCAGAGCTGGGATGGTCCCACAGTGCTGCCAGTGCCACTGCACTCCCACACTCACCCACCTCTGACACTGAACCCCCTCCAGAGGGAGGGGGTTTTGCATCCCTTCTGCTCTCCAACCCTGCTCGTGGGCATCCCCGTTCACCCTCAGCGCTGCCCACTTTTGGCAGGCAGCAGCTTCCCTGCCTGGGGTTCCCACCCTCTGTCACCCCGTGGATGCTGACACCGGCCAGCAGCAATTTCAGAGGAGCCGCTGCCCATGGAGTGGGCGGGAGCCACCCCCGTGGGGTCCTGCCCTTGTGCCCAGCCCAGCCCCCCACAGCCCCACGCGTGACCATGGTGCCGTGGCAGCGCGAGGGGCTGGGGGCCAGGAGCGACCCCAGCTGCCAGAGGGACCCGCAGGAGGCTGCCAGGAACTGGGTCCCTGCACCTGCCACGTGTGGGCTGCGGGGGGTGTGCAGGGGTGGGGTGCATTGCCCCCTGCCAGCGCACCCCATACTGCCTGTGCACTGCCTGTGCACTGCCTGTGCACTGCCTGCCCCATGCTCACAGTGGGTGCTGCCCGGGCTGCCCCTGCCAGGGCACTGCCCACACACTGCTCACACTGCCTGTGCCCTGGCCCGAGCTGCCTGTGCACACTGCCCTGCCAGTGACTGCCCCACAGCCTGCCCATGCTGCCCTGGGCACTGCCAGGGCACTGCCCACTCGCTGACTGTCCCTGCACGTGGCAAGGGGTGCCGCCTGCACACCCTGCGCTGGGGCACTGCCTCAAGTGCAGGCCGGTGCCCCGTGCATGCTGCCCACACACTACCTGGGCATTGCTGCCCACCCTGCCTGCTCACTGCCCACACACATCCTGCTGAGCAGGCAGCAGCACTGCCCAGGACACTGCAGCAGGTACGCTGCCTGCACACTGCCTGCACACTGCACTACTGCACATGTAGAGCACTGAGCATGCAGCAATCCCCCCCCCCCCGCAGCAGCCCCAGCACACACTGCGCTGCACCGGGCTCACTGCCCCCACACGGCCCCGTGGGCACGGCCAGCAGCACCTACACTGCCCCCAGCACTGCCCCCAGCACCGCCCTGAGTGCTGCCCCGAGCACAGCAGCGGCACCTGTGTCTGGACGTGCAGCCAGAGCAGCATCTTGCAGCCGCTGCAACCACCCTGCTCGAGCAGATGATGCTGGAGGTCCCACCAGCAGCTGCTGTGGGGGCAGTGCCTGAGCGCGCTGTGCCCTGGCACTGCCAGCACCGCTGAGCACAGGCCTGTGCGCCGTGTGTGTGCCAGCAAGGCACCGACGGCCGCCGCTGCCTGTGCATTGCCTGCCCCGGGAGCTGGCAGCTGGCACAGCCCGTGGTGAGGTAGCCCGTCATCCCCCCGGCCCCTGCCCCGTGTACATGGCAAATAGACACTTCCCCCTGTGCCGTCCCCAGGACACCCCCCGACACACACACGGTGCCCTACATCCCCATGGTTTTGCCCACCCTGCACATCATGCAGCCCCTCCACGCAGCCCTGTGCCCCCCAGCCCTGTGCCCCAGAGCTTGTGTGCCCCTGGCACTGCCACATCCCCTCTCGCCCATCCGGAGCCCCCCAGGCACACACGGCTGCCCAGCCTCCACCCTGCCTGTGCCTCCGGAAGGGCTCATCCTGCCGGGGGGGAGCAGCACCTCCAGCCCAGGGGGGTACCCCCGGTGCCGGCGTCCAGGTTGGTGTGACCAGCACCCCAGGGTGCAGGGGACACCCTGACTCCTGGCCCCTCTAGTCCCCCACCCTGGAGGGCACCCGCAAACGGGCACGGCCGGGCGGAGGGGGGGGGGCTGTGAGCACCCCGGGGGGGGGTTGCGGGGCCGGGGCTGGGTGGAGGGTGCGTGGGGCGGCCCCCAGGGGGAGCGGGGCTGTCTCAGGCACTGTCGCAGACCCCGGGGCGGTGACCCCGGGCACCCCCACCCCGCTGCGCATCGGCACGGGGCCCGCTGGGCCCCGCAGGGTGCTGAGCCGGGCACCGGGAGGAGATGGCTTGGCCCGGGCACTGCGGCGGGATGGGATGCAGATGGAGGTGAGGATGGGATTGGGGATGGGATAGGATAGGGATGGGAATGGGATGGGGATGGGGCACACGAGAGGATTACGGGGATGCGGGTAGGATGGGGTAGGATGACTCGGCTCGGGAGCGCGGAATGGGGATGGCCCCCGGGGGGCTGGAGGGGTGGAGAGCACACAGGGGGATGGGACGGGGGATATGGGGCGCAGCAGGATGGTATGGGGAGAACGAGGGGAGACGGAGGGTTGGGATGGACCGGGAAGATCTCGGGAGGATGGGATGGGGATGTGGAACACGGGGGAGTGAAGCGGGAGGTTAGGATGTGATGCGATGCGATGATCCGGGGAGCCACGAGGGGTTAGCCCGGCCGGAGCCCCCCGGTGGTACAGCAAACCCCAGCCCCCTGCCCGGGACCCCCTTACCTGCTCCACGCCCGCCGCCCCGGCAGACCCCGCTGCCGCCGCGCTAGGCTGGGGATGCCGCCGCTCGGGAGGCCACGGCCCGGCTCCGCCCGCTCTGGCTCGGCTCGGCTCGGCAGGGCACGGCTCGGCCCGACGCTCCGCCGCCGCTTGTTTTGCCATAAATATGGCAGGCGGAGTTACCAACGGGGCCGGCACCGGCACCGGAGCCTCCCCCGGCGCCGCCCCCGGGCCGGTCCCCATCCCCATCCCCGGTCCCACGCCCGGCTCCGCTCTATCCCGGTCCCATCTGCGGCCCTGTCCCCGCCCCTCGCAGCATCCCTGGGATCCCCTGGGCAGGGTCTGGGGGACGCCCGGTGCCGTCCCTCAGGGGGGTTCCCTGCACCATGGGTGTGGGCGCCCGCAGGACCGCCGGTGCCCCTGGGCACCAGAGATTTGCAGGGGGGCTCAGTCCCATATCGTGTTCAGAGATCCCACGGCCTGTGCAGGCCCCCTCCCCTTGCACCGGCAGCCCCCAGTTCCATCAGCCCCCCCCAGCGCCAGCACCCCTCAGTGCCAGCATCACTCCAGTGCCAGCAGCCCCCCAGTTTCAACAGCCTCCCCCAGTACCAGCAGCCTCCCAGGCCTGTCCTGCCTGACCTTGGCCCATCACCGTGGCCCTGTCCAGCTGGGGCTAACTGGGCAGGGAAATCCCCTGCTAAGCTCCTCCATGGAATGGCCTCGTTTTCCCAGAGGCTCCGGGACTGTCACTGCCTGTGGCAGCCAGAGCCCATGGGGATCCTCAGGGATGGAGATGGGCAGAGGTTGCACAGAACAGCTCCCAGCACACCTGGCCCAAGCAGCTCCCAGTACAGCACGGGCCCCCATGTCACAGCTTTGCCTCAGTTTCACCATCTCCCACTTCCTTGAGCCACCCTCTGCTGCCCACAGCCCCAAGGGCAGCCCCAGCACTTGTGGGTGCCCCGGCACGGGCACGGCCCTGAGGAGCTGCCAGGAACTGCTGTGGCTCTGAGCCCTGATCCAAGGCAGGTGCACCGTGGGATTTGCTTGATTCAAAATCCCTGTAGTCAAGACCCTTTCCTCCCTCCACTGCGGCAACACAAACATCCTTCCACCGTCTTTGGTGCCTGCACCAGGCAGAGCTGTGCTGGGGGGCCTTCCGTGGGCTGGCACTGCTGTGATTCCTGCAGGAATGCCCCTGGTGCTCCCTGGGAACTGTGGGCACTGCTGATCCCACTGGGAGCAGCAGCACGTGCCCTGCCTGGGACCAGGCTGAGCTCCAGAAACTCATTGCACTCATGAGTGAGACAAGAGCTGGGGGGAGGAGCTGGGAGCAGGGTCAGCCTGTCCCTGCTGCACACACTGGGCCGAGAGACCACTGGGGCCCCCTGTGCCATGCTCAGACGGGCCCCATCACCCCCCCAGCGCTTCCATTTTCCTCTCTGCAGGACACAGGGCTCTGGCTGCTGGTCCGGCCGCTCCTGCTGCCCCCGGCTTCCTGCCCCCGCGGCCCCTGCTGTGCTGCTCCATCTGCTCCTGCCTGCTGCTGCCCTGTGCCAGCCAGCCCCCTGCCAGGGCCGAGCACCGGTGGCACCGTGCCACGGCCGCTGATGCACACGGGAGCGTCGGCCGGGCTCTGCGTCCCCCATGGGTGCGATCACCTGAGGGATGCAGGAGCCCATCCCTACGGGAAAGCAGGGTTTCCCAGCACGGAGAAGGATGCTGCCAGGTGGGCACAGCAACACCTGCCCTGAGGGCATCCCCTTCAGTGCCACCCTCTGTCCATGCAGCTGTGGCCTCCCTGACACCTGCATGTATTAAGGTCACCTGTCCAGAGCTCTGTGCTTTGGAGCAACCACAGCTCCAAAATCAGGGAACAAACTGGCTGGACCACGTCCCCCAAGTCCCATGGCAGGGGACAATGGGACCATCTGCTCCCCCTGTGTGGCTGCTATTCCAGGCTGCAAAGTGCTGAGGGATCCAAATGGACCACGGGCATGTCTCCATACACCAGACATGGCAGCGTGATGGCACGTGCAATGGGGCTGTGGACACTTCCTCCTCCTTCACCTCCTTCACCTCCTCCTCCTCTTCCTCCTTCTCGAGCCAGTGGCAACCTGGGG